TTTTCTATGTTGTGTCATCTGTACTATTATTTGTCTGTTTGTCTTTTTATTTTTGGCCATGACGTTGTCAGTTTGTTTTCGATCTATGAGTTTGACTGTCCCTCTGGTATCTTTCGTCCCTCTTTTATTAATTAAAACAATTTCTGTTCAAAGGGAAATAACTCAAACTTGTTTCCATGAACCAGTAATGCAAATCTAAAATTAGATATGATTTCACCACTAAAAAATTGTTCTCTAAAATTAGATATGATGTTTTTCAAGTTATAATCAAATATAATTAATAGTTCCATACATTTTTTCTTTCATTTGTCACAAACTAATATCTATCAATGTCAACAACTTTATCTACACAATGTAATGTAATGAAATATATCCTTTAATAAAAATATATTATTATCTAATGAAAATGATATTTGCAAATCTGGACACCCAAACAGGATCAAGTAAAAATTTAACATTAACACACTCAACAAAAATAAAATACCACATAACAACTGTGACATCTACCTTCAAAACACACATGACTTAAAAAAAATAGTTATAATGATTTTTGACAACTCCTGACTAATCAATTGAACAGATACAATCATTGATAGACTATCTATACATCTCAGCTATATATAAACTTATCAATTTCTGTTCAAAGGGAAATAACTCAATCACATAATAAGTAAATTTCTGGTTTCTAAAAGGTCCCAAAATTCAAGAACGAGAAAAGCTAAAGTCGTGAAAATTGAACTTGGCCTTCTTTTAGTCACAGGAAACAACATATCAAAATTTGAAAATAATTCATTAAAGCGATTTCATGTAAATGAACGGACACTGTTTGGCAGCCGCCCGACCACCGTACATCTCCAAATCAATAACTGATTTTTCCTTCGAAAATCCGGTTAAAAATGCTTAAAAAAATTTACAAACCTCGTCTGTTAATGACAATAAATTCGACAAGACTGTTATAGTTTCAATCTTTCTGCCATTTTTGTAGATCTGGTATTGCTGATCAATTTGCTTACAATATATTTTCAAGATAATATGCAATAATAATAAAATCAACAAGCATTCTGAGAGTATTGCATGGCAATACATAGTCCCCTACCGGGTAAAAATTCATTATACTGGAACAAAAAGCTAACTTGTTCTATAACTTGTCATGGTGTAAACAAAAAGAAAATATCAAGTCAATATCTTCAAGCATGACTAAAAACAGTGTGGAAAACTGATTAAATGAGTGAATTTTTTTTCAAGTCCAAGGACCATAACTCTGCACAAAATTGTCAGACCGAAAAACAAAATTTAGAACTTGATCTGTATAACTTGTCATGATAAAACTATATACTAATTATCAGTCAATATCTTCAAGCATGATGAAAAAAAGTGTGGAAAACACTTTAACATTAGATATGATTAATAGTTCTCTAAAATTAGATATGATGCAATACAGTGTATATCTATTTTCAAATTATTATCAAAAATAATTAATAGATCCAAATATTTTTTCTTTTATTTGTCACAAACTAATATAGATTTGTAACTTATCTATAAAATGTCAACAATTTTTATCTACACAATGTAATGTAATATATACATTAATAAAAATAGATTATTATCTAATTAAAGGATTTCCCTTCATAATTTATTTTTATATATATAGCATTCAGACAATTAGTTTATACAAAATAACAAACAAACCTACCAAAAAATTCTTCAAATAATTTACCAAAGAATGTCTTTTAAAAAATGAGTTATCTCCCTTTGTACAGAAATATGGTTTAACATAGTACTCTAACATTGGATATGGTCCAGAGTTATGGTCCATAACTGTGGACTAAATCATCAGACCGGAACAAAATTCGAACTTGATCTATAACTTGTCATGGCAAAACTATATACCAAATATCAAATCAATATCTTCAAGAACGAAGAAAAAAAGTGTGGAAAGCTGATTTGCCGGACTGACGGATGGACAAACGGACAGACAGACAGACGGACAGAGTGCAAACCTAAAGTCCCCTTCGACTTCTTCGGTAGGGGACTAATAAAAATAAATGGGGAATGTGTCCATGGGACACAAATTATGCCCCCGCTTGCATATCTAATAAATACCCTAATTTGTACTTGATCTGAGTTTTGTGGTAATAAGTATTGTGTATAAGTTTCATAACATTTGGTTGAGGCAAACTAAAGTTGGAGAACGGAAACAAAATATTCAGCAATTTTAATGTTTATAAAGGGGCATAACTAAAGAACCGTAAAAGTGAGGCTACCCAATTTCGAACTTGATCAGTATTATGTGGTAATAAGCATTGTGTATAAGTTTCATAACATTTGGTTGAGGCAATCTAAAGTTAGATAACGGAAACCAACTTTGGGACGCTACGGCGGGGGCATACAAATATATATGGAAAGAGCAATAACTCTAATAGGTCATTTGATGGCTTCAGCTACATTGCCATTTTTGGTTGTTGTAACATTGATCTTTTTTTTGCAGTTACAGTTTTCTTCAATAGTATAGTGTTCCAGATATAAAGAAACCCACTAAAATTGGTAAATTATCAATTCTGGACAATAACTCATATCAGAAGTCATCTTACAATTTTGGTGTAAATAGAAAGTAGGTAATCTGATTGTCTCAATCTTTCATGGTTTTAAAGATAATAGATAAATTTCTAATTGCGTTTTACCATTATGTTCTATTTTTAGAGATGCTGATCAATACAGTGGTTAATGAGAAGGAACACCAAGTCAACTCTGACACTAGATATCCTAAGGATGTTTGGATTCATTTGGCCTGGCAATTTCAGGGGACGATTTTGTCGAAGTTTATATATGGACAATATTGGTAGATGAATGTCATGTGATGAAAAAAGCTCCTACAGACCCCTTATTCAAAATGACCAGAAAATACAACATAATGAAGTTATAACATCCGAGTTGACAGATGAAGATCCGTAAATTTTAGTTTAGATAGGACTGTTGGGAAATGGCATTATTCTGGAATAAAATGCTTCGCTGAGCGCAGCCAGATACGACTGCAGAGGTCTAACCCTGAACAGTTGGGGCAAGTTTGGACACAATATTCAAGCTTGATACTGTCTGAATTTGGATTGTGTTCAAATTTTTGACATAATAATATGTTGCTGACACAAAATAAATGTGGTCAAAGATCTTAAAAATTTGAAATGAGACATTAAATTTATCTAGAATGGTCTGATATCCAAAATCCAACAACAAACAACATGGTTAGATTGATGATATAAATAAACTGCTTCGCTGAGCGCAGCTGGATACGCCCGCAGAGGTCCAACCCTGAACAGTTGGGGCAAAAATGGACACAATATTCAAGCTTGATACAGGTCTGAATTTGGATTGTAATTAAATATTTGATATAATATAGGTTTCTGAATAAATGTAGTCAAAGAACTTGAAATTGGTTAAATGAATTAAAATTATATTCAATTAAAGATTTCTTGCTGTTGTGCAATACACTGTGCTGTTGCGCAATACTTAGTAAATCTGTTGTCAGACTATAAACAAATAAAGTTCAATTAATTCTCAATGTCATATTAGAAACTTATGAAAATGTAAAAGGAGCTTACATCAATATATATATAAACAATCCATCAAAGTTTAATGAGAATTGCTGACAGCATTTTTGAGTTATTGTCTGAAAACTGGAAAATCCCCCCTTTTTTAATGAATAAAACCCAACAACTCAGAAATGTAAAATGTAAAATTTATAAAATTCTAAATGGAGCTTACATCAATAGATATAAACAATTCACCAAAGTTTCATAACAACTGCTGAAAGCATTTTTTGATTTTTTGTTTGAAAACTGGAAAATCCCCCTTTTTTATGAATAAAACCCTGTAACTCGGAAACGTAAAATTTTTATGAATAAAACCCTGTAACTGGGACACGTAAAATCTAAAAAATAATAAAATCGAAAAGGAACTCATGTCAATAGATATAAACAATTCACCAAAGTTTCATAAGAACTGCTGAAAGCATTTTTGATTTTTTGTCCGAAAACTGGAAAATCCCCCTTTTTTTATGAATAAAAACCCTGTAACTCGGAAACGTAAAATCTAAAATATATAAAAATCGAAAGGGAGCTCATGTCAGTAGATATAAAAAATTCACTACAATTTCTTGCAAGTTGGTAAAAGCATTCTTGAGTTATTGTCTGAAAACTTGAAAATCCCCCTTTTTTTTATGAATAAAATCCCATAACTCGGAAACGTAAAATCTAAAATTTATGAAAAACGAAAGGGAGCTCATGTCAATAGATATAAACAATTCACCAAAGTTTTATGCAAATTGGTTAAAGCGTTTTTGAGTTAATGTCCGACATGTTGACGACAGACGGGCAAATGGTAAACGGGCATATAAAAACACCAAAAAATTTAATTTTAGTTGAAATCAAACAAAGTTTAATTTTAGACCCTTCAAACCTTAATATGGACTAATTTGAAAACAGGGCTTAAATTCAAAATCTAAATACACAGTAAGATTCAGCATATCATACAGCCGCAATAATTCAGTTTTTAATGAAATCAAACAAAGTTTAATTTTGGACCCTTTTGACCTTAATGTAGACCAATTTAAAAATGGGGCCCAATATCCAATAAAATGCTTCGCTGGGGCGCAGCTTGATACGACCGCAGAGGTCGAACCCTGAACAGTTGGGGTAAGTATGGACACAACATTCAAGCTTGATACAGCTCTGAATTTGGATTGTTATTAAATATTTGACACAGCATAGGTTTCTGACACAGAAAGAATGTGGTCTAAGAACTTGAATTTTTTTAATTTACCTATTATGGTCCAATGTCCAAAATCACAATACATGGTTAGATTCAGCATATCAAAGAACCCCATATATTCAATTTTTGTTAAAATCAAACAAAGTTTAATTTTGGACCCCAACTTGGACAAACTTGAAAACTGGGCCCATAATCAAAAATCTAAACACATGTTTAGATTCAGCATATCAAAGAACCCCAAGAATTCAATTTTTGCTAAAATCAAACTAAGTTTAATTTTGGACCCTTTGGACCTTAATGTAGACCAATTTAAAAAACGGGACTTAAAATTAAAAATCTAAATACACGGTTAGGTTTGGAATATCAAAGAACCCCAATAATTCAATTTTTGATGAAATCAAACAAAGTTTAATTTTGGACCCTTTTGACCTCAATATGAACCAATTTGATAGCGGGGCCCACAAATAAAAAATCTAAATTCATGGTTAGATTCAGCATATCAAAGAACCCCATATATTCAATTTTTGTTGAAATCAAAAAAAGTTTAATTTTGGACCCCAACTTGGACCAACTTGAAAACTGGGCCCATAATCAAAAATCTAAATACATGTTTAGATTCAGCATATCAAAGAACCCCAAGAATTCAATTTTTGTTAAAATCAAACTAAGTTTAATTTTGGACCCTTTGGACCTCAATGAAGACCAATTTAAAAAACGGGACCCAAATTAAAAATCTAAAAACACGGTTAGATTTGGCATATCAAAGAACCCCAATAATTCAATTTTCGATGAAATCAAACAAAGTTTAATTTTGGACCCTTTTGACCTCAATATGAACCAATTTGATAGCGGGGCCTACAAATAAAAAATCTAAATACATGGTAAGATTCAGCATATCAAAGAACCTCATATATTCAATTTTTGTTGAAATCAAACAAAGTTTAATTTTGGACCCCAATTTGGACCAACTTGAAAACTGGGCCCATAATCAAAAATCTAAATACATGTTTAGATTCAGCATATCAAAGAACCCCATATATTCAATTTTTGTTGAAATCAAACAAAGTTTAAATACTGGACCCTATCTTGGACCAACTTGAAAACTGGGCCCATAATCCAAAATCTAAACACATGTTTAGATTCAGCAAATCAAAGAACCCCAAGAATTCAATTTTTGTCAAAATCAAACTAAGTTTAATTTTGGACCCTTTGGACCTCAATGTAGACCAATTTAAAAAACAGGATCCAAAATTAAAAACCTAAATACACGGTTAGATTTGGAATATCAAAGAACCCCAATAATTCAATTTTAGATGAAATCAAACAAAGTTTAATTTTGGACCCTATTGACCTCAATATGAACCAATTAGATAACGGGGTCCACAAATAAAAAATCTAAATACATGGTTAGATTCAGCATATCAAAGAACCCCAAATATTCAATTTTTGTTGAAATCAAACAAAGTTTAATTTTGGACCCCAATTTGGACCAACTTGAAAACTGGGCCAAAAATCAAAAATCTAAATACATGTTTAGATTCAGCATATCAAAGAACCTCATATATTCAATTTTTGCTAAAATCAAACAAAGTTTAATTTTGGACCCTTTGGACATTAATGTAGACCAATTTGAAAACTGGACCCAAAATTAAAAATCTAAATACACTGTTAGATTCGGCATAACAAATAAATAAATGTGATCAAAGATTTTACAAATCTAATGCGCCATACTGTGCAATTAAAGATTACTTCTTGAAATTTTTCAATATTTGAAATTTGAAAAAAAAATAATATTTGAAGAATAATTCTTTTTAATTTCTGAAATCTGAAATGAGAAAAAATTGGCCCCCCACAATTTCTTTTTATCCCCCCCCCCCCCTTTTTCCCCCAAAAAAATTCTTTCCCTCAAGATATGGTCATAATCTCAATTCAAATTTCCAATGGAGTTGGCAACCATAATTACCCATTTAAATTTACCATAGTGCTAACTTAATCTATTTTATAATAGAATTAATAAAAATATAGTGTCAAATCTTTCATATGGATTTTTTTGTAAAAAAAAAAGATGAAAACATTTGCAGATATTTTTACTGGTCTTCCCTTATAAATATGCATTTCTTTAAACATAATTTAAAAGCAGTGTAAGGGAAGTAACCAAAACGTTGTATTTGGATTACCTCCCTTACACTGTTTTAGATTATCTTTATTGTTCATTAACCATTACTTTATACATAATTTAAAAACAGTGTAAGGGAGATAATTTCAATGATGTATTTGATTTATCTCCCTTACACTGCTTTAAATTATGTTTTGTACTAAAGTATTTGTCCATTAACCAGGACAACCTTGTTTTTCCCCCTTTTTTGCCCCTAATTCCTAAACGGTTTGAGCCATAACCCCCCAAAGCAAATCCTAACCATCCCTTTGTGGTATGGAAACTTGTAGTATAATTTCAGACAGATCCATACACCGTTCCACAGTTATTGTCTGGAAACTAGAAAATGCTCATTTTTGGCCCCTTTTTGGCCCCTAATTCCTTAACTGTTGGTACCATAACCCCCAACCTTCCTTTTGTGGTATTTAACCTTATGGTCAAATTTCAAAAAGATCCATTCACTTAAACTAAAGTTAGAGTGCGAAAACCAATATGTATTCGGACGACGACGCCGGACGACGACGACGACGCCAACGTCATACCAATATACGACCACAAAATTTTTTTGCGGTCGTATAAAAAAGTAGTACAAGGTTAGACCTCAAAAATTAAAGATTTTAAATTAATCCCATTGAAATTGGTTAAGAGATTTGTATTTAAATTCAATTGAAGATTTCTTGCTATTGCGCAATACTGTGCAATTTAAGATTTCTTGCTATTGTGCAATACTGTGCAATTGAAGATTTCTTGCTATTGCGCAATACTGGCCAATTGAAGATTTCTTGCTATTGCCCAATACTGTATAATTGAAGACTTCTTGCTATTGCGCAATACTGTGCAATTGAAGATTTCTTGCTATTGCGCAATACTGTGCTATTGTGCAATACTGTTTAATTGAAGATTTCTTGCTTTTGCACAATACTGTGCAATTGAAGATTTCTTGCTATTGTGCAATTGGAAATTTCTTGCTATTGCGCAATACTGTGCAATTAAAGATTTCTTGCTATTGCGCAATACCGTGCAATTGAAGATTTCTTGCTATTGCAATCATTTGAAATTTCAAAAATTTTGAAGGAAAAAAATTTGAACTACCAAAAAAAAAATTGGAAAAAAAAAATCCCCCCAAACTTTTTGAACCCCCTCCCCTTGGAGTAATTACCCCCAAATTAATCCCAGCCTTCCCTTTGTGGTATGGAACCTTTTAAAATTTTATAGAGATCCATACACTTAAACACAATTTACTGTTTGGAAACTAGAAAAATTTGTAAGGGTTCCGCCTACTTTTGCTGTTAATCGCAGGCTCAACAAAAATGAGGAAAAAAATCAATAAAAATATTCCTTTAGATACTATCTTTTGATTGTAAGAAGCTTCTGTCAAAGTTTGGTATAAATCCAGGATAGTTTATGAATCTAATAAATGTTTTAAAAACTTTAACTGCAGCCTGTATTTAATGTTAACTGGAAGAAAAACTAAGTCCATTTATAAGTAAAATACGGATAAACAGGTACAAAATTTTAACAAAATTTCCTTCTAGATACTAGCTTTTGATCATAAACAAGCTTCTGTCCAAGTTTGGTACAAATCCAGGATAGTTTAAGAAAGTTATTAAAATTTTAAATACTTTGAACCACAGAGTGAATGTATTGTTTCCTGGCAGAAAAACTAAGTCTATTTATAAGTAAAATACGGAAAAAATGAAAAAAAATTTTAAACAAATTTACTTCTGGATACTATCTTTTGATCATAAACAAGCTTCTGTGCAAGTTTGGTAGAAATCCAGGATAGTTTAAGAAAGTTATTAAAATTTCAAAAACTTTAACCACAGAGTGAATATTTGTGGACGCCGCCGCCGACGACGGAATGTAGGATCGCTATGTCTCGCTTTTTCGACTAAAGTCGAAGGCTCGACAAAAATGCTTGTTTTTGGCCCCTTTTTTGCCCCTAATTCCTGAACCGTTGGGGCAATTACCCCCAAACTCAATCCCAGCCTTCCCTTTGTGATATGGAACCTTGTGGTACAATTTCTGAGAGATCTATACACTAACACACAAGTTATTGTCCTGAAACTACAAAAATGCTTGTTTTTGGTCCCCAATTCCGAAACTGTTGGTACCATAACCCCCAAAGTCAATCCCAACCTTCTTTTTGTGGTATTGAACTTTCTGGTAAAATTTCTTAGAGATCCATTCACTTAAACTAAAGTTATTGTCCGGAAAACAAATGTGTCTTCAGAGGACGCCGACGACACCATAGCATTATACGACGCAAAATTTTTTTTGCAGTCGTATAAAAAATGCAGGGGAAATTTGCCTTACCTCTTTGGCTGGAATCTATTCACAGGTTTAGGGAAAAGAGATGATGCAATGTTCAGCAACTCTTTATCCATGATAGCAGAACCATAAAATTGAGGTCACACAATCTTTTGGCAATAGTTTATTGTTAATTCAAGTCTTCATGATTTCATTTATAAGATTGCATTCTAACACATCCTCATCACAATATACTACCTTAAGCCTAAATCTGATGATGATCAGATAGACCCACAGATAACATAAATGTTTGGCCATGTTTTTGCAGGCACAGGCTAGGCATAAAAACTATATTAAATAACAACACAACTAATAACTTTATAGATATGTTTTTATTAAAACACTGAGAAAATTTAACAGAATATACAGAACATCTACAACATGTGAAGCACTGATTTGGAAGGTCATGGAAACAACACCATTGATTAGGTAATTGGGTACAGAAACACTGGAGAGTTTACTCTAGAAGGTGTACAATGCACGACTATTTTTAAAGACCAGTTCAACAGTTTATTTACTTAAATCAATAATCAAAAATACATTCCGTCAAAATAATTTAAGTTTGTTAAATGTTTGCTCTATTCTGTATAATTTATTTCAATTTTATGAAAAAAATGTTGAAAATTGATATATCTTAAAATGTATCTACATGGCATCTAGCAGTTTGAACACTGTCCCATAATATCTTTTTGAAGACAATACCTTTTCAGCCCCAATTATCTAATGGGTGTAAAGAATACAAATTTCTTGTTTTTCAGATAATGGACACCAGATTTTTGTGTAATTATAAGAAAGACTAATAGAAAAGTTTTACACAACTTGAATAGTATCACAGAGGTAACATTGAATACAAAGGAATTGTATACAGCAATTGACTACAATAATTTTTTTTATACAATACTAATAGTATTTAGTAATTAGTGCACTATATATTCTGACATTGTTGTAAAAATCTATGAATGAAATAATACTATAGTTTTTAAAGGGCAAATTGGTTATTGTATAAAATGTAATAAACCTATTCCTTACAATATTACAGTTCCTTAAAAGTCTCTAAGTGGGAGTTTCTACAGAAGTAGATATACTTGATGTAGTATTTTTATTTACATATATTTAAAGACTAATGCATAGAGTGGTATCTTGTTACTACAGAAATGTGAATGGACAAACTGAAGACTTTACCAGTGTGAAAATTGTCAAACATGCAAATCTGTACAACCGATTTTAAAATTTAGATCAATATATTTAGCTTCATATGAATGATAGTCTGTACTGGGGCCTACTGAAACTTAATTATATCAAAAAGTTATGTATTCATCCTTTATTGTACTTCATTGAAAAGTCTACAACTTCAATTAATTCAGTATTTGTTTTTTTAATAATGGCAGGCATATACTGTTAAAGAATACTATAACTAGTAAAGGGAATTATCATGTTTAAACCCCTTACTTCATCTCAGTTTGGTTAAAAGTATCTCTTATTATTTTAACATAATTATATTACATAGATGCTTTATAAGATTTTGTACTTTTTATTGATAGATAACGACTGCCAGGTTTAGGGGCCAGCTGAAGCCCGCCTCCAGGTGCGGGATTTTCTTTTTGTGTTGAAATCCCATTGGTGGCCTTTGGCTGTTTTCTGTTCATTTGGTCTCTTTGACGCATTCCCCGTTTCCATTCTCAATTTTATTCAAAATTATGCTTTATATCCAATTGAAAAGCAACATCTAAGACTGTTAGTGTTCTCCATGAAAACGTCACAAATATGCATAGGAAAACAAAGGAAAAGCTTGAATTAACTAAAAATTCATGGTTATAGCATAAAAATATAGTTGTAAGAAATAAATGTTTCTTTTTTTTTTGTAATTTTAAAGGGTTATAAAAATTTGAATGTACTTCCACACTTCATACAAAATATGCTTCCGTCAACATTTTTACAATCTGATAAAATTACAAAAAGAAACAGAATATTCTTAAATATTTACTCCCTATATTAACACTATACAGTCTACAACCTTGAACATACTTAATAAAGATTTAAAACTTCAAAAAGAGAGATGAAAGGTTTGTTTCAATAAACATCAAACTTAATCTGACCACAGTAGTTTCCCTTTTAACAAAATAGGAAAAAAATCCAATAAAAAACGAAAATAAAAGAAAATCAAATGGTCGAAACTTCTTTCAGGAAAAATTCCATAATTGGGACCCTTCCTTCAAACAAAATCATAACTAAAGGAAACTAAATGCTAACAGTCTTTGATCACCCATCTTGTGTATAAAGAAAGTAAAGCTAGTTATTTGGTAGAAGTATATTTTGCTTCATATCTGCATCTATATTTTTAATGTCAAATCATCCACTTATATGATCATGTATTTGTGTTAGCTATGGACAAAAAGATCTCAAAAGTTCTAAATCAAAGAAGATTCTGTGACCAATATTTGAGAGTTAGAAGAAATACAACCTCCAACTTTGCAGAACATTGATTTAATTTGTGATAAATTATACTCTTTTTTATACCCTCGCTCCACAGTCGGGGGTATATAGGAATATTCATGTCTGTCTGTCCGTCACACTTTTGGTTTTGGTTTAGAGAACCACATTTTGAAATTAATTGAAATTTTAATGGAATGTTTTGAACCACTAAAGACAGGTTATATTTGATTTTCACTTTTACTGTTTCAGAGTCATGATACTTGATTGTTGGAAAAATTCAAAATTGTTTTGTTTTCTGATGATAGACAGAGAACAGCTTTTGGAAATTAATTGAAATGTTAATGGAATGTTTTAATGAAATCATGATCTCTCTGTTTCTGGGCGTGTGGTATCTGTGAGATCTAGTTTAAGAGAGTAAGGTCATCTTGCTTATACAATGTATATATTGATGCGCCTTAGGCATTTGTCTGCCATTAGATAAAATCAATGTGTAATTATGGTTGGTTCTATTTGACCCTGTAGTTTCTGACAAGATATTGTAAGATTAATAATGTCACAGAAAATTAAGTGAGCCAGTAGACAGAGAACAAGGTTCTCAAATAAAATTGAAACATCAATTGCTATTAGTTTCAGACTTTCTTATTACTGATCATAATAAATCATAGATCCAAATCAAGGTTACCTGAGTACAATTATTGGTTACCAACAGTCAGAAATATTAGTCTCTATCAGACCTCAGTCTTTTGAACAGGATATGACAAGCAAATTCAATTTAAAAGTAATTTAAGCAAACTTATAATTTTGCATTTGATAATCAAAATTTGTATATTAGTTTTTTATGATGGAATCAGTGGGATGTCTATAAAACATATAAAACCTAATTACAAATTTTGTAAGACGCCAGGATCAAAATATATTTTTAATCAAACTTAGTGCATCAATTTTTCTTTCAGTATCCATATACAGACAATTTAGTTATAAAAATAAGAAGATAGTTAGCCAGACTTTATCCACCCTTTATCAGCACAGACATTTCTTGAAAATAAAGCAAAAGTATTTATATTAAAAAGTTACATACAATCTGTAAGGCACATCTTGGTAAAAATAGTATTTCACCGGATATAAAAAACCTAAATTTGATTGTGGACTTCAGGATAATCATGCAGTTACTATATAATGGCAATTTGCTTACAAGAAAATCTATATAACCAAAAAAAATTTAAACTAAAAGATTTCATGCATTTGCATTCTGTACCAAATTTTGTTTAGAACCTGAATGAATATAAGAACATAATGTTTAGCAAGAATTCCCCTCTGCATTGATTAACTTCTACACAATATAAAATGTTTCCCCTGCATGAATTCAACTTTTACACGATATTTAAATAGATAGAAAATTATTTGAACAAGTACAAGTATTCTGGTCAGAAAATATTCACATTACCTTTACCAGCATGCATCATTTTATACTCCTCTTCCATGATGCCATATTTTTTATTACTTAATCCTTTAAAAGCAAAACTTTGTCTTGAACTTAAGATTTACAAATGCAGGGGAAAATTTTTCATATTTGTGGAAATCGCTTTAAATATATTTATCTGGTATAGTTTTTTAATATATGGTGTCTTTCTTTCAAGAGATTTTTGTTTGCAGTACATTTACCAGAAAAGCTAGTCAAAATAGACCTCAAAATGTAAAAACAAATTTTGTAACTCATTCCAGTTTTAAGGTCCTCATTCTCAAGTCAAATTTTGTTTTTATCAAACTCATCACTGTGTATGGAAGTCATTTTGGATTCTGATCAACAAAATATGAGGATACACTTTAAATAGCATCAGATATTTATTTCAGACTAAAATTACAGCTCATTGACGAAGAAATAAAGGCAACAACGTATTTGTTTTGTGACTGGTATGTAAAACTGACTCTGGCCATAATTTTTTCCTGACATATCCCAAAAATTTATGTCCGAGTAATTTTTCACAAAGCAAGAATGAAGAACTGGCAGGTACTGTTAGATATAGCTAAAGTGTATAATATAGGGTGTGAGTTAAATCACGGCAACACGTTCTGTATTTTTCATCTAAAACTGCTTTTTATAATAATATGTTTTTCCTTCTAATACATTTCAGGAGGAAGAAACTAAAACGAAAAGTACGCTATCAAAATCTAAATAATTCTATAAAAATCTTATCACATACAATGTGCAGATAACAAAGTGAAGTGTCTTATGGGTAAACAAAGGTAAGAATAAGGGAGATAGCTTCACATTTGAGCTTCAAGGAATGAACACTTAGGACAAAACCAGTGTACACATATTACAAACAAGAGAAAAGAAAATTGTATTCTTTTTTTTAATGAAGCAAATATTAAATCATGTTTTGAAAATTTGAAAGAGAAAGAGACCTATTCTGTAAAATAGATTGTTTTAAAATGTGTTTATAGGCAACACAAATCAAAGACTCATTTCAGTTGCTTTTATCATATAAGATCCAATTTCATTTCCGTCTTTAAGCAAGTTAATTGCTTATATATATTGATCCTGCATGGAGTAGTGTACACTGGTTGCATCAAGCTTGCCCCTAAATAACTACACAAAAACAATGGGAGCCCAGTAGAGCAATATATTTTTTCTAATCATGCCTTTTTCTTAAGCTTCATGAAAAAATAATCTTCAAATTAAGGAATCTTTAAAAACATTTTTCCTTCATTATGATACTAATCAAAAAAAGGTCAAGTAATGCCAAAGTAAAATGAAAGTATTGCTCTGACTGGTACAGCATCTGCAAACATGAAACCTTCTATTCTCCTTTTCTTAAAAATAATATAAAGGCCTCTTTGTTCCTTGAATGATATGTTTTATTATAGTTGTTTTAAATTTGAGTACCATATCTTACCCTTGCTAATAACGTTCATCTGTAAAACCAATCTATAAAAATATCTTTTAAATTTCATTTATATCCATAATTTAAGGCAATATTTTCCTTAATATAAATAAGAATTTAAGGTCTAAATGTTTGCAGTGTGAGGCCACTGAAACAAATATTAAATATCTCATCCAACCAATTTGTTCACTTAAAACCATATCTATTGATGATATAAGATGTCTAACAATTTAAAAAAATGTATAATTTCCTGATTTTTTTTTCTAAAGATCACAAAACAGTAATCCAGAAAAGTCCCAAAATATCTCAAATTGAAGGCACAAGTAAAACACTTTTATCCATTTTGAAGTTTTTGATGAGAAGATCCAATATCTATTTCAAGACAGCCAACAGAGATCATATCTGGACAACCTACAAAATTTTCTCATTATAACAATTTCAAAGTAACAGATTTTCTCATTCATAATAAATGGCACAAAAACAAAAACAGGGAAACATAGATTTGTTTTTTTCCTTTCTTCTTCTTAACAGATCAACAGAGAAATATACTTTTTATGTATATAAAATATCATAAAATTTTTATCTATTTTTTTCAAATAAAAAAGTACAGAACAGATCACAAAATATCAATAAATATTAGGTCCTATACTCCTATATTATCTAAAGTCGATGGTCTCAATTTATATTTGCTATTTGAATGAGTCTTCAAAATTTGATTGGCTCCAGAACTACTTGGGTAAATAGCAAGAATTTTGTGAAATGCTGACACTGGCAAACTTCCGGCATCATTTTGATACTGAATATTTTCAGGATGAATGAACTGTATTTGTGCCCCACTTGTAACCAGATCTTTCAAAAGTTTATCAGCTTCTGAACGCATCATTGTTTCAGGCAAGTCACACACTTCCAAAATATGACCTGAAGAAAAGAAAAAAGTTAAATTCATAAGTTAATGCAAGCTTATCTTCTGTTTGAAAATTCATTATTCTATCTATGTATAAATGTATCAAAATTTATAACTCGCAGACTGTATTTCAATCAAATGATCAAAGTTCTTTAAAATAATGTCACTAGCACTTTCATGCCTACTGGCAATCATCAGGTGATGATTTAACAACGTCCTTAATGACACTGCTGTTGGTAACGTTCATGACATTACAATATTAGTAAGGGGACATTAATCCAACTTGACCACGTAGATACGTTTGATTTTGTTCGAAAGACCCTTATAAAGTGTGATTCTTTGCCTTTCCGTTGTATTTATTAAAGTCGTTCATTTTATTAAACAGGAATACTTAAAATTTTACTTTATTGCACATTTCCAAATGTTCGCTCACATTTTGCATTTTTATGGTCGACTCTAATATGTTTCTTATGAATACAGACTCTTTTACAAGTAGAATAACTGGTTTGTCCGATAAACCATTCCTTTTCGTTCTACATACAATACAGTAAATGTGTAGATACTGAAAATTTTTGTACAAATGTGTATATTTATCATGTAGCCTGACATATCATCTGCAAGAAAAATTACAATTTTAGATAGCTTTGTGATGTAAATTTTTTTATTTCTTCACTGTAAATCTAATGATTCCATGGGTGCCAATTTTTGTGTTTGTTTTAGCATTAATAAAGTTTCTATTGAACTTTTCTTGTTTGAATTGATTCACATTTTGTCAATTCCCAGTGTCGAAGGCTGTACGGAATGAATTGTCTTCATTGACTATTCCAGTTATCTTCATATATTTCTTCAATTCCAGCTAATGATATACAATACATTGTCTGTAAGACTGTCTTAATTGTCTCCCTAGACGGTCCAAGTTTCCTTTTTATAAAAGTCCATTAGTCTACCAGTTGAGTTGAATTGTACTTGGCTTGACTGGTTTTCTTTTAAAGGTTGGGGAAGAGTACCAGTAAGGCCAAGATAGATATTTTTCCCCCAAATCACCTCAAAATTTTGACAGAATATGATGATTTTTTGATTTATTTCATGCACATGGGCAAATAGTCCCTATATAATCTAAATTTAAAATTGAGATTGAATAAATTAATAAACTGCGGAAAGATTACAATGTTGTAGCATCAAAAATGTGTTATCACTCTTTGGAAGATGACAAGCAACGAAAGAAGCATTATAATAAAGTATACATATTAAAAAACAACATAGCCAATATATTTAAACAGTTTTCACCATAATGAATATGTGTAACAAGTATAAAATTGTTATAACCACAACTGTCATGGTAAACTACCTTCAACCAAAACTTTAACCCCATACAGGACAAAAAAAACGAACACACATATTGTAAAACATTATTTGTTTGTGTGTCCAAAGGATATGATAAATATAGATTCTACCACTGCATCAAGTGTGATACAATATTTCTCCACTTGAGACAGTCAAATATCACATTTAAAACATAAGGCTCTCAGAACGTTTTCAATATTTAAAATTTAACTGTCGAGAGTGGAGAAATACCGTATTGCACGAGATTTTGTGGTATAATCTATTTCTCTTTTGATTTTTAGACAATATGCAGACAAACTTTATCCATCTTTTCCAATGATCTGCAAAAATATGTGTTCTTTCTATGTAATGTCATCACTTCTTTCTTGACGTCACACTAGGAAATTCAGAGGAAAGCAAGAAAATTTGATGTCCCAATTGATTTTTGACAAATGAAAAACTGAAATAAAACGAACTACACGTTGATTGAAAATGAATAATCAACAGGTCAGAAAAAGGAAAAATCAACGAAGAATTAGAGAAATAATTTTATACTAACCTGTCTGACTATCGTTACTATCAATACTCTGATGGGGTGAAGAATCATTTTCTCTACTACGAGATTTCCTCAACTTTTGTTGCTTATTAGAGTATGTTGTACCAGTACTTCTGTAAATATCAACAACAAATATTAGTGAAAAAAACCTTACTAATATACTTTATCAAGGTATATCACTACAAGTGTATTGAACAATATTACAGTCTGAAATTTTTTGCCAGCTTTACTGATCATGGCTGTCTAGGTGTAGATATGACGAACTCCATAATTGCAGCAACCAATTAGATTATAGAGTAAAATATGAAATGCACACAGAAATAATACTCAAATGGCTCAGTCATTATTTGCTATGGTTAAACCACACAAATTATGGGACAAAAAAAAGGAGCATATTATTAAATGTCTAGAGATTTTCACTTTTAGTTACGCTGAAATACAGTCACTGGTTGTTTAGAATTTGAGATAAGGAAATGAATGAATGAACAAATGAACAGAAAAAAAGTGAATTGTTTTTATCAAAAACACTTCAAACCAGACATATTAAAAAAAAATTCTTACATTTGAAAAATATGTCGTTTTAATTTATTCAAATATATTAATAAGGGTCAAACTTTTCATTAGACTTTAAATAATGAAAAATCAGTCACTTGTTTCAATATCTGTAACATTATCAGTATCCATTTAAAATTGTATCATTTTACTGAAAAATACAATATCAATGACAATACCTAATTACTGACTTTTGTTTCTGTGGCTGTACATATGACTGTTGGTGAATTTGAACCTGCTGCACTGGTGGACGAAAGGTTTGCTGACCTAATAATCGACAATCTAAAAAATAAGAATAGTAAGTCAACCACATGGAAAATTTGAAAACAAAAATTGTTTCATACTCAACTTTAACTTGGGCTACATAATTTTTTTTTCTAAATTAAGTCAAGTCTGACTAAAAATGCTAACAAATCATTGCAATGTTGTTATTTTTTATTTTTTCAACATTCTCACTCAGTCTTTGATGGTCAGTGATGAAATATTTTCAACTGAGCCCTAAGTAAACAAATATCAATCCATAAATATGTAAGGCAACTCTTATCATTCATAATTAATCTTATAGCATTAGATTATTAAAGCAATTTGCTCCAATTGTTATTCAAATTAATATGCAACTGTTGTTTGAACAAAGTGACTTTAATAAACATTTCTTAAACTGACCTGAAAAAAGTTTTGAAAATCCTTTCTTCTTATTTCTGTTCAGATCAAATAGGGCCATTACCCGTGTATGGTAAATATAAAATTTGTCAAAACTGAACTCCTCCTATATTTAAAAGTCAAATGACATTTTATCAAATTTTTCCTTTTATTTGCTTAAGCTATACTGTCATTCCAAAACCAATAAAATGCTTCGCTGGGGCGCAGCTTGATACGACCGCAGAGGTCGAACCCTGAACAGTTGGGGCAAGTATGGACACAACATTCAAGCTTGATACAGCTCTGAATTTGGATTGTTATTAAATATTTGACACAGCATAGGTTTCTGACACAGAAAGAATGTGGTCTAAGAACTTGAATTTTTTTAATTTACCTATTATGGTCCAATGTCCAAAATCAAAATACATGGTTAGATTCAGCATATCAAAGAACCCCATATATTCAATTTTTGTTAAAATCAAACAAAGTTTAATTTTGGACCCCAACTTGGACAAACTTGAAAACTGGGCCCATAATCAAAAATCTAAACACATGTTTAGATTCAGCATATCAAAGAACCCCAAGAATTCAATTTTTGCTAAAATCAAACTAAGTTTAATTTTGGACCCTTTGGACCTTAATGTAGACCAATTTAAAAAACGGGACTTAAAATTAAAAATCTAAATACACGGTTAGATTTGGAATATCAAAGAACCCCAATAATTCAATTTTTGATGAAATCAAACAAAGTTTAATTTTGGACCCTTTTGACCTGAATATGAACCAATTTGATAGCGGGGCCCACAAATAAAAATTCTAAATTCATGGTTAGATTCAGCATATCAAAGAACCCCATATATTCAATTTTTGTTGAAATCAAAAAAAGTTTAATTTTGGACCCCAACTTAGACCAACTTGAAAACTGGGCCCATAATCAAAAATCTAAACACATGTTTAGATTCAGCATATCAAAGAACCCCAAGAATTCAATTTTTGCTAAAATCAAACTAAGTTTAATTTTGGACCCTTTGGACCTTAATGTAGACCAATTTAAAAAACGGGACTTAAAATTAAAAATCTAAATACACGGTTAGATTTGGAATATCAAAGAACCCCAATAATTCAATTTTCGATGAAATCAAACAAAGTCTAATTTTGGACCCTTTTGACCTCAATATGAACCAATTAGATAACGGGGTCCACAAATAAAAAATCTAAATACATGGTTAGATTCAGCATATCAAAGAACCCCATATATTCAATTTTTGTTGAAATCAAACAAAGTTTAATTTTGGACCCCAATTTGGACCAACTTGAAAACTGGGCCAAAAATCAAAAATCTAAATACATGTTTAGATTCAGCATATCAAAGAACCTCATATATTCAATTTTTGCTAAAATCAAACAAAGTTTAATTTTGGACCCTTTGGACATTAATGTAGACCAATTTGAAAACTGGACCCAAAATTCAAAATCTAAATACACTGTTAGATTCGGCATAACAAATAAATAAATGTGATCAAAGATTTTACAAATCTAATGCGCCATACTGTGCAATTAAAGATTACTTCTTGAAATTTTTCAATATTTGAAATTTGAAAAAAAAATAATATTTGAAGAATAATTCTTTTTAATTTTGAAATCTGAAATGAGAAAAAATTGGCCCCCCACAATTTCTTTTTATCCCCCCCCCCCTTTTTCCCCCAAAAAAATTCTTTCCCTCAAGATATGGTCATAATCTCAATTCAAATTTCCAATGGAGTTGGCAACCATAATTACCCATTTAAATTTACCATAGTGCTAACTTAATCTATTTTATAATAGAATTAATAAAAATATAGTGTCAAATCTTTCATATGGATTTTTTTGTAAAAAAAAAAGATGAAAACATTTGCAGATATTTTTACTGGTCTTCCTTTATAAATATGCATTTCTTTAAACATAATTTAAAAGCAGTGTAAGGGAAGTAACCAAAACGTTGTATTTGGATTACCTCCCTTACACTGTTTTAGATTATCTTTATTGTTCATTAACCATTACTTTATACATAATTTAAAAGCAGTGTAAAGGAGATAATTTCAATGATGTATTTGATTTATCTCCCTTACACTGCTTTAAATTATGTTTTGTACTAAAGTATTTGTCCATTAACCAGGACAACCTTGTTTTTCCCCCTTTTTTGCCCCTAATTCCTAAACGGTTTGAGCCATAACCCCCCAAAGCAAATCCTAACCATCCCTTTGTGGTATGGAAACTTGTAGTATAATTTCAGAGAGATCCATACACCGTTCCACAGTTATTGTCTGGAAACTAGAAAATGCTCATTTTTGGCCCCTTTTTGGCCCCTAATTCCTTAACTGTTGGTACCATAACCCCCAAAATCAATCCCAACCTTCCTTTTGTGGTATTTAACCTTATGGTCAAATTTCAAAAAGATCCATTCACTTAAACTAAAGTTAGAGTGCGAAAACCAATATGTATTCGGACGACGACGCCGGACGACGACGACGACGACCGACGACGCCGGACGACGACGACGACGACGACGCCAACGTCATACCAATATACGACCACAAAATTTTTTTGCGGTCGTATAAAAATGTAATAGAGAAAAACAAAATGACAAAAAATAAATGTCATAAAACTTTCAGACAGTGGTGCAAAAATCTGGATCCACACATTTTCCCTTATTAAAAGAATAAACAGAAAAGATATTAAGTGTTCTCAATACTATTTTCATTCTACAATGTTTTTTTTCTGAACTAATTTTCACAAGCGATAATCTAATAATTCAGGATATTTGAGGATTACCAGTTATTTGTGTAGCTGTTCTGAAACCTGGTACGAACTGACGAGCTGGTGGACCAGCCACCACTTGGGCTCCAAAATTTCCCATAGCACAATCTTTATTTTCCAGTTCATATTTTGGCATTGTTCCTTCAACTGTCAAATTTTTTGCACTAACTGTCACTTGTGATGGTTGACCTGCAACCAATCCTTGCTGTTGTTGAATACCACCAACTTGTGTAGGAATCTGCATATTCATTTGCATATTTCTAATGATTGGAACTGTCTGTGTAGGATTATGCACTTGAACATTTGGTATCTGAACTAGCTGGGGATTAGGAGTCCTTTGCTGCTGTTGAGGCTGGCCTACCTGAGCCATTGTTTGATACATGTAATTATGCGTGTTAGGTGTTTGTACATTTCCCACTGCAACAGGCTGACCCATGTTTAACATAGGAGTGGAGCCTTGCATTGCTAAAGGTGGGTTTGTTTGACTAGGCTGAATTTGACTTTGAAACTGTCCCTGATTTCCATTATAAATTAGTCCCATTTGTGGACTTGAGGTGGGCACATTACTATAATACAAAGTTGATTGCATCTGACCGTAATTACATGTACTTTGGCTAGGATATTGAACAGGATATGTTTGAAAACTGTCTGATGCACCGTGAATAGGAAATGAACTTTGATTAACTGTCTCAACACTCTGAACAGTGTTTCCTTGATAATTAGGATATCCCGTTGTCATTTGTGATTGAAATGGTGAACTCTGGATGATAGTCTGGTTGTCTACTGCTACAGATGGCTGTCCTTGTGCCATAGATGTCTGAACAGGGTACATGTAACGTACATTGGAGGTCTGCATGTTCTGTGGACAAGGATAATATTGCCCCTACAAATTCACAAGATTTATTTTTGTTATTTATGACAAATGATGTATTTTTTTACACAAAAGATACACATATCTTACTTTTGTCCATTTTGAAGCCAAGTTTAAACACATTTTGTCATGAACGTTTCTTTTACACAACAGATTATAACACTTTTAATTAAGGAGATTATTAATAACAAGTTCTACCACATAGTTAGTGCCACTGATGATGGATCTTTTTTCCCCTAGTTATCAGTTTAATGACTATTCTTCAATATACAAAGTTCAAGGTTGCAAACAGTACAAGGATATGGAGTAATATTAAGTATACTTGAAAAGAAGATGACTGAAATTCTACTGATAACAAAAATAGATTTTGCATAAGGATGTTGGCATTATATCTTGTTTTTGACTTTTTCAATAAACTACTTCGCTGAGCACAGCTGGATACGCCCACAGAGGTCCAACCCTGTACAGTTGGGGCAAAAATGGACACAATATTCAAGCTTGATATAGGTCTAAATTTGGATTGTGATTAAATATTTGACATATTATAGGTTTCTGAATAAACGTAGTCAAAGAACTTGAAATTGGTTATATGAATTGAATTTATATTCGATTAAAGATTTCTTGCTGTTGTGTGCAATACTTAGTAAATCTGTTGTCAGACTATAAACAAATAAAATCTTATAACTCTGAAACGTAAAATCGAAAATTTATAAAAATCAAAAGGGAGCTTACAAAAATAGATATAAACAATTTAAAAAAGTTTCATAAAAAATGCTGAAACAGTTATTGTCCGAAAACTGGAAAATCCCCCTTTTTGTAATGAATAAAACACCATAAATCGGAAACATAAAGTCTAAAATTTATAACAAGAGTGCACACGCTGAAATGTTTCGCCTTCTTTACTAATCATTGATATTATGTTGATAGTCCTAAATATAAAGCTTTATTACAACTGTCACATAAACTTAAAATTAACCAAGTAAACTAAACATTGACCAATGAACCATGAAAATAAGGTCAAGGTCAGATGAACCATGCTAGGCAGGCATGTACAGCTAACAATTCTTCCATACAACAAATATAGTTGACCTATTGCTTATAGTTTAAGAAAAACAGACCAAAACACAAAAACTTAACACTGAGCAATGAACCTTGAAAATGAGGTCAAGGTCAAATAAAACCTGCGTGACTGACATATAGATCATAAAATATTTCCATACACCAAATATAGTTGAACTATTGCATATAGTATTAGAAAAAAAGACCAAAACTCAAAAACTTAACTTTGACCACTGAACCATGAAAATGAGGTCAAGGTCAGATGACACCTGCCAGCTAGACATGTACACCTTACAATCATTCCATACACCAAATATAGTAGACCTATTGCATACAGTATAAGAAAAACAGACCAAAACACAAAAACTTAACTATAACTACTGAACCATGAAAATGAGGTCAAGGTCAGATGACACCTGCCAGTTGGACATGTACACCTTACAGTCCTTCCATACACCTAATATACTAGACCTATTGCTTATAGTATCTGAGATATGAACTTGACCACGAAAACTTAACCTTGTTCACTGATCCATGAAATGAGGTCGAGGTCAAGTGAAAACTGTCTGACGGGCATGAGGACCTTGCAAGGTATGCACATACCAAATATAGTTATCCTATTACTTATAATAAGAGAGAATTTAACATTACAAAAAATCTTAACTTTTTTTTCAAGTAGTCACTGAACCATGAAAATGAGGTCAAGGACATTGGACATGTGACTGACGGAAACTTCGTAACATGAGGCATCCATATACAAAGTATGAAGCATCCAGACCTTCCACCTTCTAAAATATAAAGCTTTTAAGAAGTTAGCTAACGCCACCGCCGCCGGATCACTATCCCTATGTCGAGCTTTCTGCGACAAAAGTCGCAGGCTCGACAAAAATCGAAAGGAAGCTCATGTCGATAGAAATAAACAATTCACCAAAGTTTCTTGCAAATTGGTGAAATTGCTTTTGAGTTATTGTCTGAAAACTGGAATATCCCCTCTTTTTTAATGAATAAAACTCCAAAACTCGGAAACCGTAAATCCGAAATTTATAAAAAACGAAAGGTAGCTCATGTCAATAGATATAAACAATTCACAAAAGTTTCTTGCAAATTGGTGAAATTGTTTTTGAGTTATTGTCCGAAAACTGGAAAATCACTCCTTTTTTAATGTTTAAAACCCCAAAACTCGGAAAAAGGTAAATCCGAAATTTATAAAAAACAAAAGGGAGCTCACATCTATAACTATAAACAATTTACCAAAGTTTCATGCATATTGGTTAAAGCGTTTTTGAATTAATGTCCGACATGTTGAAGACGGACAGACAGACGGACAGACGGTCAACGGTATACCATAATACGTCCCGTAAACGGGCGTATAAAAAGGCGCCAATGTAAATTGTATGAAAAATCTAGAGAGAATCAATTCCCACCAAATTTTAAATGGTTTTTATCTCAAAAAGCAGGACACGAGGCTTGCATTTTATTTCTGCCCTTGTAGTTCAGTTACGTGTTTACAATCAATTTATGACAGTCTTTTAAAAAGTTTGTTATTTTGAAACAAAGTAGCAAATATCCTTAAAAATATACGTATGTACCTGTGCAGCAGGTCCTTGCTGAGAAAATACTGTTTGCATTTGTGGCTGTGTTGCCATGACGATCTGTTGACCACCTTGTAAAGAAGTTTGACAACCAGGTGGTTCTCCTGTACTGTCTAAAGAGTTCTGGTGACTTAGAGATGACTGCTGACTCAGATTTAGTGATGACAAATGATGACAAACCTCTGGTACTCCTTGACATTCAGGTTGTGGTACCTAAAGTCAGTAAGTTCATTTGAAATTTTTCTCCTTAAGCTTATATGAGTACCTTGAGACAAAATACTGAAGTTTACAAATTTCAACATAAAAAAATACAAAATAGGTATGCCGATTGAGCATCCCTTTGCTACAGGCATAAAAATGATCAATTTGGATTAAAATTAGGACTAATGGTCAAAATTTCAAAAGGATAATGAAGAATTGTTGCAATATGTTTTTTGTTGTTGCTATTAACACTACTGTAAATTCAAAAATTATTGCGTGCATTTATTATTGCGATTTTGTAATTTTAGACTAAAATGCGATTTTAATTTTTGCGATATTCTGAAAAATCCTGTTTGATTCAAATAAAAAATGTTAAAATGCGAGTTTTAATTATTGCGATTATAATCCTGTCGCATTTTTCGCAATAATAAAAACATCGCAATAATTTCTGAATTTACAGTATTTCAAAATATAAAAAGAAATTAGCCAATTGGAATATATCAAAAGGCTTATCCTAGCTTTATTTTTTTATCATAATGACTTCAAATTCTGAAAACTCAAGAGAAAATAACTCCTCAAATCAAATTTCTTAATGCATGGTGTCATTAGAACACATTTTATGTTATTTTCAAATACTGTTTGAAAATTAAATACCAGACGTGGGTAGTACTAAAAAGTAGGTGCAAGTGATTTACATTTGCCTAAATGCTATCCTATCAGTCCAATAGTACTTGTACTACATTCATGTAAATATCCAAAATTACAAAATACATGTAATTTCAAACTTGTAAATAAAGGGCAATAACTACTCCAAAGAGTTAAATAACAATTTCGGACATGTTGACCTAAGCCTATTTGTAGATCTTTTAAATATGCTGATTTCTTTACTGTTTCTCTCTATATTAATTTAACCATTCCACATACTCATTTGCCTGTCCCTAGTCAAGAACCTTGTCAGGAATTGTCTTGCATATTGTTAAGACACCTGTCTATTGATAAAGACTGTATATTACCCTTTTAGATATCTTTTGAATATTTTTGTTGTTGGGTTGCCGTCTCTTTCAGGTATACCCAACATCTATTAGTCATAAGTACATTAACAAATTCATCACACATGTAATAAAACAACTAAAAGCAATATCATATATATATATATATAGTGTCTGTAGGAAGATATGTTATATATTTTACATTGGTCCACATTTCTGGAGGCATCTGTTGTTGTTGTTGTACCATAGTACTCTGATGAGGTGGAGGATGGCCTGGTGTGTGGTGGTAAATACTTCCGTCAGAATTAGAAAATGGATGACCTTTAACAAAAAAAACAAGAGTTTAATGGCTATATGTAAAACAAGAATATGTGTTCATTGGACACCACGCCCTGCACACTATCACATTTCCATGTATAGTGAACTGTAAAATCAGGGTAAAACAAGAATGTGTCCATAGTACATGGATGCCCCACTCGCACTATCATTTTCTATGTTCAGTTGACCGTGAAATTGGGGTCAAAACTCTAATTTGGCAATAAAATAAGAAAGATCATATCATAGGGAATATGTGTACTAAGTTTCAAGTTGACCAAAAACTTTAACCTGAAGCGGGACAGACAGACGGACAGACAATGAATGGACGGATGCACAGACCGAAAAACATAATGCCCCTAGGTGGGGCATAAAAAACGACCAAAATTATAACTTGAGAATATACTGGATTAACAATCTTACATCTCCATGTTCATGAACCATGAAATCAGGGTCAAAACTGGAACTAGGCATGTGACTTTAGACGGTAAACTACCTTGACCAAAAACTTTATGTGTGATATGGGATGGACAAACATATGCACACACAAGAAAACTTGGTCCTCTACTAAGATCATATTGAGAAATTATTTTGAGGGATAGCTATTCCCATAATTCAAGAAATTTTTACCTGTTCTATTTTTTCATAATAGAAATAGCTTCTTTGATTTACATTTGTTACCCCTAAGTTTTTATACCAAAAAAATAATACATACCTGTTCTTGGATCTAAAATAACACTGCCAGGTGGGATATTATTTAAATCTGTAGCTACAATATATACTTGTTGTCCACCTTGACCCGGGAATATACCTAAAACACAAAGAAATCCTTTTAAAATATATAATACAACCATCTATTAACATATTGGCTATTCAAGTATTTAATAAAAATAAAGAGATGGCCAAAGATGTATAAGTACAAACCTTGTATCGGTGATTGTACTGGCCCTGATGAACTACATCTAGATAATGGTGAACTATCGGTTCTACTTCCAGGTGGAGTTGGAATTCCTCTTTGTAATGGACTTCCGATGGACATGGACATTCCACAGTTAAAGGAGTCTAAAATAACATATATAAACCCATAAGAGACCTTGTCAGTTTTTGTTATTTTTGTAAACCATTTTCTTTCGTTTAATGAAGAAATTTGGTCTTGATAGCAGATATTTGTTAGTCGCTGTTGGTTTCAATCACAACCTGCATAGACTAAGTCTTAGATACATGATTTTTTATTAGTTGTTATCAGCTTTGAACAAGGTTTCAGTAACTGTGAGAACTCTCAGATCTGTACTTTTTGTCTTTTGTTTTTTTATAGTTGTTTTGTGCTTTGTATTGATCTGTTGAGTTGAGCCCTTTTCAACTGATTTTTACAGTCTGTTCTTATGTTGTGCTGCTACACCACTGTCCCAGGTAAGGAGAGAGTTTGACGCCATCACATTCTGTATGTGTCTGTCCCAAGTCAGAACATTGTTGAAGGCTGTACAATGACCTATAGTTGCTAACTTCTACGTCAATTGGTCTCTGGTGGAGAGTTGTCTCAATGACAATCATACCACATCTTCCTATTTTTGTAAGAGTAGCTTATATTTGAAACCTAGTTATAACTTCTAATTAGCCTATTATTACATATCTAAACTTGTTATCAAAGATTAATTTCAAATGCCACATCCTAAGTCAAAATATATTTATGAATATTATCTTTTAAAATAATGCTTGCCATCAAACACAATTTTTTAGCGGTCATATCTTATATAGAATAAGAAGTTGCACACATTGTTGTTCAAAGCATAGCCCCCTCCCCCTCTTCTTCTTAATTCAAGGTATCAGAAACAATGAAGAAGTTCTCTAACAGATCTGAAAAGTGCTCACAAACTCATCTCTGTCAAAATAATGACCAATAAAAGAACAGAGTTCCATAGTCCCCCGCATTGCACATATTTTATCTATCCAAGTCCTTTTTTTTGTTTAATATCTTATGAGAAATGAAGGCTTCAGAGCAAATGCAATGTGATTTCCATTATAATTATATTTCCAAGGGGCATAACTCATTAAAAATATTTGATCAGAACTTATTTTCAAAAGTGTCAAAGACATTGCTGATATAAACCTATGATATAAGTTTCATAAAAATTCTGGCAATAATTGTACACATGAGAACACTGACAATGCAATTTTCCATATAATCAATGTTTCCAAGGGGCCTAACTCTTTTAAAAATAATTGAACAGCACTGATTTTTGAACTCGTCAAAGACATGGTGTATAATATAAATTTCATAAAAAGCTGGCAAGAATTGTACACATTAGAGCGCTCATAAGGCAATTTTCCTTATAATTTATATTTCTAAGGGCATAACTCTTTTAGAAATTATTGATCGCCACTGATTTTTGAAATTGTCAAAGACATTGCTAATATAAACCTATGATTTAAGTTTCATAAAATTCTGGCTAAATAGTACACATGAGAGCATTAACAATGCAATTTTCCATATATTTAATGTTTCCAAGGGACATAACTCTTATAAAAATAATTGATTGGCACTTATTTTCGAACTCGTCATAGACATTGCTAATATAAACCTATGATGTAAGTTTCATAAAAATCTGGCAAGAATTATACAAATGAGTGCGCTAACGATGCAATTTTTCGTATAATTAATGTTTCCAAGGGGCATAACTCTTTTAAAAATAAATGATCGGCACTGACTTTCGAACTTGTCCAAAACATTGCTGATATAAACCTATGATATAAGTTTTATAAAAAATCTGGGAAGAATTGTACACGTGAGAGCGCTTACAAGACCAGACAGACGCTGTTTCATTCAACATATTAATATAAATTAACTTGAATTAGGGTTTCAATTAGAACAAGCATTCTGAGAGTATTGCATGGCAATACATAGTCCACTACTGGTTAAAAATTCATTGTAGTGGAACAAAATGCTAACTTGATCTATATCTTGTCATGGTGTAAACTTTATTACAAATATCAAGTCAATATCTTCAAGCATGACGAAAAAAAGTGTGGAAAACTGGATTATAAGTCAAAATTTAAGTGAATTTTCTAAGTCCAAGGACCATAACTCTGCATAAAATCATCAGACTGCAAACCTAAAGTCCCCTTCAACTTCGTCGCTAGGGGGCTAAAAAAAGCACTCACACATTACAATTCATCACCATCAAGCTGCTAACCAAATATGAAGTACTGTAGTTCCTGAGAAAAAATTGGGGATAAAAATATTTGTTGGACAAATGGACAGACAAGGAGATTGCCGAACCTCAACTCCTAAGTTGGGATATAATTAACTTACTTGTAATGCTAAAGGTTCCAAAGAAAAGTGTAACTTTCCCAAAAATATTTTCAAGAAAAATTAAAATGCTAACATTGTTTTTATGCAATACCTGCTTTGTTCATACTGTAACTTTTATGTGTCCCTCCCTGTTTTTGATTAACATGTGTGATTCCACCAAAACTGTTAGCTTTTGGCAAACCTCTGACTCTAGATGAACTCCGGTCATCGGTCCCATATCCACTAGAGTCAGTGCTACTTCCAAGGTGATTACCTTCGGAGTTCCTACTCAGGCTACTAGGTCGAACAGGTGCTCCGTCTGCCTTATATCTACAACCAAAATACACATATGATTATTGTACTTTACAATTTGTAAACCTTAATATTAAGGAAAGTCTAGACTTGCTTCATATGCCTTATTTCTACAACCAATACACACATATGCTTATTGCACTTTTACAATTTGTAAACCTTTAATATTAAGAAAAGTCTAGACTTCTTTCATTTCAATATCAATCACAAACAATCAATTGTCATATATCTCTACATGTATACAATGCCATGTAGCAATAATTTCCACTACTTATTATGAAAAAATAATGTTCTATTCTTAATTTCATTTTAAAATTTCACATAAAGGCATTCATGCCACATCATCTTATTTTTATAGCAATATAATAAATCATTATTGTAACTTACATTTGTGTGATTGCCATCTCTTCTTCTGTAAATGCTTCCACCTAAAAACCAAACAACATATTTCACAGGCCGTTATTTTGCATTAAATTTGAATTGCTACAAAGAAGTTATAAAGTATATACATCACATTGAAATTTGTAATTCATGTTTTAATTCATACTGAATCAAAGTGTGAGATGTTTTTGTACAGAGTTTTATCTTGACAAATTAAAAGAAAATCATTCCCATAAGACAAAGCTATCTTGACTATTAATTAAGCCATGCAAATTGTCATATATTGTTACTTTTAAATGAGGTAAATTTAGTATATCAGAACCATTTCTTATAAATTATTTGCTACTACATCCTTTGGTGACCGTGAAAGGGTAAAATGAATATTTTTCAACATAAAACTAAATATGCAATTTTTACTTTGGTAGAATTCTATTAAAAATGTTTGATTTTTTTTTTTAGCTAAACAGAAAAAGTCATAACAATATAACTATCTTTAACGGTGTCTGTTTGATATCACAAGGTATGTAATTATGTTACAATAGGTCAGTCATATAACTCTAGGAAATTTTGTCAAATCAAAAATGGTATCAACCAAACATTATGAGAAGCAATCCTACCAAAGAATGAAAACTTGAAAGCTAAAAAAAAAGCACTAGATAAAGTGTGACAGACAGACAGACAGACAGACAGACAGACAGACAGACAAAAGAGAACAAATAGTGAAGTGGGGACTAAAAGCCAAACAATCTAAGCAGAATAGACTTACCTGTAGGCCAGAATCATCAACACTTTTGAATATTTTACTTCTGACTTTTTCATATTGTTCTTTTCGCTCTTCAAATGACTTGGCTTTCCCTCTTGTATCCCCTAGACTTCTAGCAGATAGCTTGTAATGGCTCTAATTAAATATAAGTTTTAAGTGTCAAGTTGGGCATTAATATGAACATGTTTTTGTCATTCATATGCCTGTTATTGTAAAAAAAATAAACAAACCTTGCTTCCTTTTACTGTCCCATCTAAAAATTGTTTCAAAAGTGAGATACTTCATATGAGATAATATTTTTTTAAACAAATTTTATGTTTCAATGTTTCGTGAATTAGAAAATAATATGATCTAGATTTCAGGACACAAAAAAGTAGTAAATTCTAGTCCTTTGAACACCCCAAAAAAGGAAGGGAACACTTATTATCATATAGTAATTTTACTCTTATCCTTCAAAAATAATAGAGAGATAACAGAAAAAAAAGCTATGGAAGAATTCTGCAGTTATATATTTTAACTAATACAATAAAATTTGAAAATAAAGAGGAGAATATGCAAATGAAGGTGATAATCTAACAATTGATGCAAAACAAACTATTCTAAGAATATTCCAATCAAAATAAATTCAATGCAAAAGTGTAACTTATCAAATTTTCCTCTAATCTTTCTGTATTATTTTTTCCATATCACGCTATTCAAGTGATATGGGATTTTCTCAGTCAGGTAGAGAGAGAATATATGACATCATGAGCCTTCAGCAATAAACAGATTATCAATGGTCTTTCAAAATCAAGGATTTTTCTTGGCTACATCTCATCTAACCCTTTGATGAGATCGTAGGTGAGAAATCACCTCCTGTTTGAAAAACTATCAATAATCTATAAATATAACATGTATATGATATGTTTTGGTCCTATATTATGTATTACCTCTCTATCATCTAAACTATTTACACTCCTCTTCATTATCATCTTTGGTTTCCTAAGAGAAAGATGACCTGGTTCCCCAGACTCTATGTGATCCCTAAAGCTGAAGTCAGGTCTGCAATGAAAATTGTTTTTAATATATAAATGTCATATCTTATTAAACAAGATTTTCAGATAATTACAGACATGTAATGCCTTTAAAAATTTAGATCTGTGCTTTTGTAATACATTTCAGATTCTATGATTATTAACTGCTTCTCATATTTTACCTATATATTTTAAAGTCTACCTGCTTCATATGTTTTACAAATATATTTTAAAGTCTTTATTTTGTTCTACCTGTGTCTCATAGTTGAGCCACAAGGCACTGTTTTTTGTTCGACAAAATTTCTTCTTATGTGACGTTTACATTTTCTGACGTCAGACACGCGAAGCAATGAATGTGGTTTTTAATTTGATAGATGCTTTTGTGCTTTTTTGTAAATGATTGTTTGTTTTGATATTGTAACACAGTGATGACTGTTGTACCCATATTTTGACTATTTTATTTATAACATCTGTTTTGTTCACGCATCGTTGTAAATATAACGGAATTTGATGAGACTGTCGTACAAGTGAGAGAATTAGCGCTATAAAACCAGGTTCAATCCACCATTTTCTACATTTGAAAATGCCTGTACCAAGTCAGGAATATGACAGTTGTTGTCCATTCGTTTGATGTGTTTTGTCATTTGATTTTGCCATTTGATTAGGGACTTTCCGATTGAATTTTCCTCAGAGTTCAGTATTTTTGTGATTTTACTTGTTATGTTGTTTGGTTTTACAGATTTCCTTTTTGTGTATTGTAAATTCAGAAACTATTGCGAGGTTTTTATTAATGCGAATAATGCGACTGAATGAGTATCGCAATACTAAGAACTCACATTCTTATATCTGATACATATATTTTTATGCAGATTTTCCTGAAATGGCAATTATTAATCTCGCAATTTTAGTCAATTATACAAATTTGCAAAAATAAATGAATGCAATAATTTCTGAATTTACAGTAATTTGATCCTCTCTTATAGTATAATTTACTGTGGATTCATTATTATTCATAGGATACCAATTTTTGTTGATTTTGTGGGTAAAGCTAAACAAAGTAAACAACGTACAAATTGATACCTACGAAAATAAATGAATCTTCAATACTGTAACAAACTTGTACATATTTGATGCATTAAAATATTTTAAACAATTCTATCCATACCTAAACTTATAATTGTAAAACCTGACCAACAGGCTGTTCTGATTTGTCATACAGTATATACTTATTGTTGAGATATCATTAAGAAGAGAGAATTTACAAATTTGTATTAGATGTTTTGTCAACTGTTGTGGTTTCATTTATTTTCGTGGGTACGATTTTCATGGAATAAGGAAAAATAGTATTTCCTCAGGTATTGGATTTCGTTGTTAAAACAAAATCTGCACATAAACCTATAGAAACTTTGTACTTCATTGAAAGCTTACATTCATGGTTCACCTGTATCCACGAAAATATTGGAATCTCATTAATAATTATTTTCCAACTGTATAACACATTATCAATAGAGTAAAGAGAACTTACACCCTTGTATTAGATGTTTTGTTGACTATAACACATTTGCCTGTCTGATCAACATTATGGTCTAAACCAAAGAAAGCTGAGATTCTATGGACCAACATTCGATCATACGACGACATCTGAGGGAACTTGAGGTAATGGTGCCTACAAAATATGGAAATATAAAGTTAAAATAGAGGTTATCATAACAAATGTGACGTGAAAATTTAAATCATTTTTGAAAGTCTGAATACTTTTGCATGGTGAATATCATACATATTCCATGCTATCAATAAAAATATGAAGAGGATGACACAGATACCCCAGAGGATGGTGATGATGGATGGCTGCTTAACGTAAAGCAGGAAATTAAATGCATATTCAGGACGAGAACATGTTAATGTTATATGAATATTAACCTGCTTTGTACTAGACTGACACGGTGAGTCAGATTTTTAAGCGTGCTAGTTCACAAGGTAATAATCCACAGGAAGACATGTCACCCTACCCAAACACATTATTCTGACTCCTAGCAAACCAGTTTTTGATCTTACTCGTTAATGCTGGGTGCCTAGCGGAGAAGCAGGAAATACCAATTTTAAAGTCTTTGATTTGATACAGGTTGGGTTCAAACCCACAACCTCCTGCATGAGGCAAACAAGCTACTACTAGACCACCGGGGCAGTATCTGATACCCAAGATAATTATATTCCTGAATACAAAGTAAGTCAGATGATTTTGTCAACAGTGGAATATTATCTGATAAACCGAGTTTCATACCAGAAGTAGTGCTCATTATATTTAAACAGACAAGAATATGTGCACATAGGACACCAAGCCCCACGCTCTATCATATGTCCATATTTAATGAACCATGATATGGGGTTCAAAATCATAATTTAGCATACAATTTAAAAAGTAACCTCATAATAAACATGTGAACTATGTTTAAGTTGATGTGACCCCAACCTCATAATAAACTACTGATTCTAGGCACAAATCAACTGGAACAACACACTAACCGAACTTTAACTCATTATTTCTTAATAGTCATTAATGTTATTAATTTTCACTGTATCTTTTTATTTATTAATAGTTATAAATATTCACTTTAAATAGTCCCACTTACTTTGGTTCATTAATAAAGTTGTTGATATCAGTTTCCAGCTTCAGTAGCATACTTCTGTCTTTCTGTGTTTTGTTCAGAGTTTTACGAATAAATTCCTCTAAATCTATACCAGTAGAATCTTTGTAAGGACTTTTATCAAAACTTGAATCTGGAAAATAAAAAAAAAAGAAAAATTAAATCTATAAGTTTCACTAACTTGAAATTACAATGGACAAAGTGAGCTAATAATTGCATTTCATGTAAAAAATATTCTTGTTGTTCTATAAAATTCTATCAGCAAAACCGAAATCAAACATACACATATCATTATAGCTGAAATGACATATCATCGGATAAATTAAACGACTAAAGATATATAGTTGGAGATCAAATTATAAATGAAACGACTCAAAATGTATTGTTGGAGATCATATAGTAAACGAAATGAATAAAGATGTATTGTCATAGATCATGTTATAATTGAAACGACTAAAAAAGTATCATGGGAAGATCACATAATATATGAAATGACTGAGACGTATATTGTTGGAGATCATATAGTAAATTGAACAAATAAAGATATTATTGTCGGAGATCACATAATAAATATATATATATATAATTAATGAAATGACTAAAAATGTATTTTCAGAAATGATAAGGTGTACAAAAAAAAAAAAAAACCAAAAAAAAAAACAACATTTTCCAGCAATTTTATTACAATCTAGCTATAGAAAACAAAATTTTATTTTTAGAGCAAATTTTCACATGACTAAGGATATAAACTAGAGATATTGGCTATCACCTTGTCTTTAAAGTTTCTAATTTTTTTTTAATCATACCTCTAGATAAACTCGATGAGGTGCCTGCCTCAGAACTTTGTGAACCATTCTTTTCCAATTTGCTTGCCGACTAAAAGCATAAGAACATTTAAACATTTAGCAATACATAATTTGATATTAATTGCTTTTTAATGGCAGATACTTTATCAGAGAGTTAAAAGTACATATGTTATGTTTTACAAAGTGGAAAGGGTCCAAAATATCAATTAGGAAAGAATTGTGCTTAATTCTGAAAAATGCATAAGCCTTTTCAAAACATAATGATATTACTTTTTTCAACATTTATCAGAGCTTGGGTTTTAGCCAAAATATACTGCGCATCTAGACATTAAATGTAATTTCAATATCTTTCAACAGTTTACAATTTTATTTAAAAAAATTAGATAATGCAGTTGATTTCCATAAACAACAAGCTTTTTACACATGTCTATCTCCATAACATCAAGCTAATTTGGCAAAAAGTGTCAATCAATAACAATTATAAGCAATTTAAAGAAAAAGTCTCCCACATAATTCAGTCATTTTCCCAAAGTAACTATTTTATGGCATAAAAGTTATAATACTCACCAGAGATTTTGTAAGTGTGCCATTTGATGGACTCTCTAAAAGATTTTGTTGTTCTAAAGGTGGCGAGGTAATTTCAAATGCTTTACTCCTAGTTAGCTTTCCTTGTTTAGGATTGTTCTGTATAAAACAAAAGCAACTATTAGAATAATCTAATAACTGAAATATTGATTTAGAGTTAAGTAAACTACCATTAAATAAAACAGACAGTAAAAACAGATAATTGTGATTACTTTCAAATTTTTAGTATAACATATTTGTTGCCATTAAATGTTGCCTCTTTACAAATATGAAACAATTGACCATTATTCAGCGCACAAAATATGTTTGCCTACAGTAACATGAATATGAAATTCTAGAAACATTTGCATTTCACATTATTTGGCCCTTAATTCAATGATTTATAGATTACACAAATAAACAAACTTTATGAAATGTTCAATTATGACATGAAACTAATTTTGGCAACTGTGACAATGAACGTTCATGGCAGGTAGCAATGTCCAACTGTTACAATGAACGTTCATGGCAGGTAGCAATGTCCAACTGTGACAATGAACGTTCATGGCAGGTAGCAATGTCCTACTGTGACAATGAACGTTCATGGCAGGTAGCAATGTCCTACTGTGACAATGAACGTTCATGGCAGGTAGCAATGTCCAACTGTGACAATGAACGTTCATGGCAGGTAGCAATGTCCTACTGTGACAATGAACGTTCATGGCAGGTAGCAATGTCCTACTGTGACAATGAACGTTCATGGCAGGTAGCAATGTCCTACTCTAACATGTCCTTTTTAGTTATCATATGAAAGTCAATTGTTTCAAACAGACAGAGATAGACCAGATAGAGAACAAATCATATGCTGTACCTAAATTTTTCCAATTTCTGATGGCACAACTGTTTGTATGATGCATTTTAATGTCACCTAATGACAGCTTGCATAATAGAGGCAGTAATAAAACATACCTGTACATGATTACAATCAGATGAATTGTTTTGTGATACATCTTCTGGAGGACTAGAATCTCTTCGCTCTGTACTCACTAGTTCCTTGTCTAAAAAAAATGAAGCAAATAAAGCCATTCGTGTAAGCTGAAGTGATGCTTGTGAGATTTTTTTTCTAAAGCAAAATAAACATTACAGTAAAAGCCTGTTGTGCACACCTGGTATCGAGATCAGAAACCACAGAGGGATCTTAAAATCTGGATCAGACTCCTGCTGAGGAAATATGCTCCATTGGAATTGGATCCGTATTTTACCTACCTTCTGTTACAAACCTTTCATTAATTTCTTCTAGGAATGCGGATTTTGGATTGGGATACCTGGTGTGTTGTAAAGAACAAATTCATTTTTTTCATCACCACTTTTGATCAGTATCATCACCGGTATTGTTTTAGTATTGACTTTCTTGACTCTATCATAAGAAGAGTGAATTTTCTTTTGTTTTCGTTCACTGGATATCCCACTGACTACAGAATACTATTGTTGTTGAATGGTTCTGTTTACAGACTTAGTCTGCTTCAGTCTAGGCAAACATGGTTTATTCATAAGTTGAAATTAGCTTTTAAACTAGCCTCTAGTTGGTGTGAACATAACGAGTAACCCTCAAAATAAAACAATGACAGTCCAAGCTTTGGTAAGGAAAACCCCAAAAATGACTCTAGATAAAAAAAAAAAAAAAAAAAAAAAATAAAAGAACAGAGTTCCAACACATATTTTATATATTCAAGGTACAAGGGCAATAACTAAAAAAAAAAAGCACTTTTTTTTGTTCTTTAAGACTTTTTATTAATATCTTAGAGAAATAAAGGCTTCAGAGCAAATGCAATGTGATTTCCATTATCATTTCCATTTCCAAGGGGCATAACTCTTTAAAAATATTTGATCAGATCTTATTTTCGAAAGTGTCAAAGACATTACTGATATAAACCTATGATACAAGTTTCATAAAATTCTGGTAAGAATTGAACACATGAGAGCGATAACATTACAATTTTCCATATAAATCAATATTTTCAAGGGGCATAATATAAATAAATGGGGAATGTGTCCATGGGACACAGATGATGCCCCCGCTTGTATATCATATAAAGTTATAAAGGGACATAACCAAAGAACGGTAAAAGTGACGCTACCCAAATTTGTACTTGATCTGAGTTTTGTGGTAATAAGTATTGTGTATAAGTTTCATAAAATTTGGTTGAGGCAAACTTAAGTTAGAGAACGGAAACAAAAAATTCAGCAATGTTTCCATTTGGAAAAGGGGCATAACTCTAGAACAGTTAAAAGCATTGTGTATAAGTTTCATAACATTTGGTTGAGGCAAACTAAAGTTAGAGAACGGAAACCAACTTTGGGACGTACATACAGAAGGACAAGGGTAAAACTTAATGCCCCCTCCGCTACGGCAGGGCATAAAATGAAGATGTGGTATGATTGCCAATGAGACAACTCTCCACAAGAGACCAAATGACACATAAATTAACAGCTATAGGTCACCGATTGAGCTGGATACGACCGCAGAGATCCAACCCTGAACAGTTGGGACAAAAATGGACACAATATTCGCGCTTGATACAGGTCTGAATTTGGATTGTAATTAAATATTTGACACATAATAGGTTTCTGACACAGAATAACTGTAGTCAAAGAACTTAGAAATGTTTATATGATTTGAATTTATATTCAATTTTTTGCTTTTGTGCAACAGACTTTGCTGTTGCAAATTGACCCCCCTCCTCCCACAAAAAAAAAAAAAATTTACCCCCCTTTTTTTTGGCTTTTGTGCAATACACTATGCTGTTGCAAATCCTAACCATCCCTTTGTGGTATGGAAACTTGTGGTATAATTTCAGAGAGATCCATACACCGTTCCACAAGTTATTGTCTGGAAACTAGAAAAATGCTTATTTGGGCCCCTTTTTGGCCCCTAATTCCTAAACTGTTAGGACCATAACCCCCAAAATCGATCCCAACCTTCCTTTTGTGGTTACAAACCTTGTGTTTAAATTTCATACATTTCTATTTAATTATACTAAAGTTATTGTCCGGAAACCAACTGTCTTCAGACGACAACGACATGATACCAATATACGACTGATCATCACTGATTTTTGAACTAAGAACATTGATGATATAAACTTATATAAATTCATAAAAATCTGGCAAGAATTGTACACATTGGAACACTCATAAGGCAATTTTCCATATATAATTAATATTTCCAAAGTAAACCCTGAAAATCAATCAGATGATACAAAAGAACATCATGTGAATAAGATTTGAATAAAATTCTGGGTAAGTTTTACAAAGTTATATCAACAGTTAAGGAGCAGTTGGGGATAAAAAAAAGTAGACAGCACTTACAGACCAATAGACTCCTCCATCACCATATACCACCAGTCACCTTTATAGAAAGCAGGGGTAGAATAAAATCTACCATCTTAAAATTGTTGTAAAAAAATGGTAAAACAAATAAAATCTTCCAATTTAAGAAGTGATGGGTATATCTTTGGTTTTTAATTTCAAGTTTTACAAAAAACATTTCAACTAAATTGATTATTTTACTATCACATTCAACTTTTGACATTCCTAGGCCTATAGGTATTTCATGTTTTTATCCTCACTTGGCATTAACTGTTTGTCTGGTTAGTCTTGAATTGATTAATTGAAGTGTTTTAAGACATCTTTTACATCCCATGATTTAATGATGATTTCAAGTTTTAGAGAAACAAAATTTGGTAGGAAAATTTCTTCCTCAAAAGCAATGTACCAAATGAAACCAGATATTCCACGCAGGTTTCATATGGGGTACTTGATTCTGACTGATCAACTACTTCACTAGAGCCTATGGGAAATCATATAGAAAGTCCCTGTTTTAGTCAATGTGTTGCTGTCTTATTGAGGAATGCCACTCTTCACACATGTAAAGACATGAGTCTATCGATTGATACAATCTCATGTGATCTTTAAGTTTTTAGAAACCTTTAATAATCTGATAGAGAGTTCTTATTGTTTATAAGATTCTATAAACCAAATAATTACCCTATCTGTAACATACAGTCTGAAGGCCATACAGTGACCTATAAACATGATAAATGATAACTTTTACGTCATTTGGTCTCTGGTGGAGAGTTGTCTTATTTGCAATCATATCACATCTTCTTATTTTCATATTATCAAATAAAATGCTCCGCTGGGGCGCAGCTTGATACGACCACAGAGGTCGAACCCTGAACAGTTGGGGCAAGTATGGACACAACATTCAAGCTTGATACAGCACTGAATTTGGATTGTAATTAAATATTTGACACAGCATAGGTTTCTGACACAGAATGGATGTGGTCTAAGAACTTAAAAAATTTTAATTTACCTATTCAAACCATATCATTATTATTTGCTTTTAAAAATAAATCAGAAATAACCAATTTAAAATGGAAAATTTTAAAGAAAAAAAAGGAAAAAAAAATCCCCCCCCCCAAATTTTTTGAACCCCCTTATGATTCATCACCCCCAAACTCAATCCCAGCCTTTCCTTTGTGGTATGGTACCTTGCAGTACAATTTCAGAGAGATCCATACACTTGAACACAAGTTATTGTCTGGAAACTAGAAAAATGCTTGTTTTTTGGCCCAAAATTCCTAAACATTTAGGGCAATTACCCTCAAACTCAAACCCAGCTTTCCCTTTGTGATATGGAACCTTGCAGTACAATTTCATAAAGATCCATACACTTACACACAAGTTATTGTCCTGAAACTAGAAAAATGCTTGTTTTTTTGCCCCTGTATGGCCCCTAATTCCTAAAATTTTGAGGGAATTACCCCCAAAATAAATCCCAGCCTTCCCTTTGTGGTATGGTACCTTGCAGTACAATTTCAGAGAGATCCATACACTTGAACACAAGTAATTGTCTGGAAACTAGAAAAATGCTTATTTTTAGCCCCTTTTTGGCCCCTTATTCCTAAACGTTTTAGGCAATTACCCCCAAACTCAATCCCAGCCTTTCCTTTGTGATATGGAACCTTGTAGTACAATTTCATAAAGATCCATACACTTACACACAAGTTATTGTCATGAAACTAGAAAAATGCTTGTTTTTGGCCCCTTTTTGGCCCCTAATTCCTAAAATTTGGAGGCAATTACCCCCAAAATCTATCCCAGCATTCCCTTTGTGATATGGAACCTTGTGGTACAATGTCAGAGAGATCCATACACTTACACACAAGTTATTGTCATAAAACTAGAAAAATGTTTGTTTTTTGCCCCTTTTTTGCCCCTAATTCCTAAAATTTGGAGGCAATTACCCCCAAAATCAATCACAGCATTCCCTTTGTGATATGGAACCTTGTGGTACAATGTCAGAGAGATCCATACACTAACACACAAGTTATGTCTGGAAGTTATAAAAATGCTTATTTTTGGCCCTTAATTCCTTAACTGTTGGTACCATAACCCCCAAAATCAATCCCCACCTTTCTTTTGTGGTATTGAACCTTATGGTAAAATTTCATAGAGATCCATTCACTTAAACTAAAGTTAGAGTGCGAAAACCAATGTGTCTTTGGACGACGACACCATACCAATATACGACTGCAAAATTTTTTTGCGGTCGTATAAAAACACACACCCGTTTTAGTTACTAAGTCCTGTAACTCAAAAAGTTTTAATCTTATTTTCACCAAAAAGTATACAGATCGTTTGACCATCATAAGAAACAACTATGTTAAGTTTCAGTAAATTTGGATAAGTCGTTCTCAAGTGACGGTGCGACATGTTTACCCCGGACAGACAGACGGACAGACAACATTTGTATACCATAATATGTCCCGTCAAAATTTTGACAGGCGTATTAAAAGGCAGGAACAAATAGAGTGAAAAATAAAAAGGCAGGACAGAGATTACAACTAAAAAATAAAAATGCAGGACAAAATTTTTCATCCTAGCCCCCCATAAAAATCAAATGTTATGTAACATTCTCCCTTGTTTTTATATCTAGTACACAGTTCAACAATGTAATTTCTTTAAATAATTTAAATAGTTCAAATTTGCAGCAGTTACTTACAATTCATGTCAACAATAATATCACCATCACCTGATAAGTAATCCATATGAACGTATATAAACCACTATGATCCTTTCATTAGAGTCATTCAATGATTATTTTACTTGTGCAAGATCAATTTTTCTGAATATCCATTTTACATTAAAGTCTCAAGTTGAAGGACTTCAGTTCAGGAAGTACAATAAAAGTTAGGATCAGTTGAATGTTTGAATGCATATGAACATAATACCAATAAAGAAAATCTTCACTGACAGATGCATATCTATTTTTGACATATGATCTGTTCTAAAATTAGACTAGTTTTTCCCACAACACTGTATGGAATGCAATCAGGCTATACTCCTTATCTACATAAAAAATCATTGAATGTGTGGGTGTTAACAGGCTTAGAGTACAACTGTATTATATAAACTAATGAATAGTGAAAAAGTACGTTGAACCAAAGTCTTAACAAAAGTCTTGTTCATTTCATTCACAAATAAAAACAAATTGTATCTATTTCTGGTTTATCCTTAAGAAATATATATCCTTATTTTTTAATTTTGTTTGCCTTCATTTTTCAGAACATAATTACTTGAATTATGTTGTGATGTTATGTGAATTCTTATTGTTCTCATGAGCAGTAATACATTCAATACATTCAAGTGATTAGCAAAAGGAAATGTGGGGTACGTATAGGTCAATGAAACAGCAACCAAACAACACAAATTTCTGTTATGAAGAAGCTTTATTTGTTATAAAAAGTTTTAAAATGAAATCGCTTGCGAAGCCGTTTGCATGTAATTTGCATTGAGTTATTAATTCAATGTACATTGTTATCCCCAAGCTTTTTTTTGACAAAATGAAAGTTAGTGTAAAACAAATAAAATCAAGAAATTAAAAAAAATATACAAATTTTCTCAAGATTTGCTGCCATGGTAACTTGCTTAAAGTGAAAGTGGTTTTTATTTTGTGAACCCATTTTAACTTAGTATAGCAAGGACAAATATAAGAAAGTTTATGGCAACATTTTAATTTATACTAACATTTGGGCCACATTAAAGCCTTATTGCTCTTACCGGTACTCCTTTGATGAGAGGAAGGCGTATTTTAAATTTTATTATTCTACAACACTTCTGTTCTTAAGTAACCTTCATCAGGCTCAAATCTTTTATGTATATTTTGAATTAATAATATGCAAGATGAACGAATCTAATTCTTACAGTAAACAAGATAGGAAGGGTTTTGCCTCACATTATTAACCTTATGTCGAAGTTATGATTTCAAACAAGCTATTTAGACATTTACAAAAGATAGACGAAAGGATCAAACAATTGGCACAGTGCACACAGATCATGCTAGCTGCACTAAAAACAGCATCAACTGTAGTAAGGGGTTGTACTGTCAGTTATTGTCAGTCTTCACGCTCAACAACATGCCCAGCAGCGCAGGCTTGTAAAATTGCTTTTGGGCCTATAAAAATCATCTCTACAGGCCAACAGAATCTAACTAAAATTTTCAAAATATTGAGCTCTGGGCCTTTAGATTTATCGTGAAGACTGTCATGTTAATACTAAGTTCTGTTAGTCCTATTTTCAAATAGTCACACCATTCTGGGGCATCAGTGGCCGAGAGGTGTATGTAGTTCATCTACTGTATCACTAGCCTGTCAAAACTGAGGTTATTAGTTTGAACCATGCAAATTGCAGGTGCATTTGACTCCAATCTTAATTGACTAGGATTGAGTTTTCTTGCTGAAGATCGTTGATTCCATCCAAATTTCAGCACCAATAAAAACTGGTGTCACAAACATAGCAAATAGAGTTGAAAGTGGCATTAAACACCAAAAATCAATCAATCAATCAATCAGTGACATCATTCTCATGCAAAAACAACTTCAACCACAGAGATCATGTCCACAAATACAACCACAGATCACGTTCACTAAAACAACCACAGATCATGTTCACTAAAACAATCACAGATCAAGTTCACTAAAACAATCATAGATCATGTTCACCAAAACAACCACAGATCATGTTCACCAAAACAACCACATATCATGTTCATCACTCGTCTTTTACATATACAAGACAGTTCAGGTTTAGAGCTTTCCAAAGGTTTAGAGCTTTCAAAATTCAAAGATGACAACAAATCATGTTTAACCTAAAAGCTCCATCACAGCAGTTAAAGCTAAGCTCAAAAAATAATTGGTTAAGGATTACATTGTGACTGTTTATTGAATGTGCATGAGGCTAGATAATGTATTACTATGTGGGTGTTGATGTAATATCACAAATTTCATCCTCATTGCCAAGATAACAAATCAAGAACCAAAGCAATTACCTCGTTTTGTAAGGTATGCAGAACACAGTCACCCTGTTTTTTGTTTACTTTTAGAATATACCACTTGCCAAAATATCTCAATCTATCACCAAATAAACCTATTTCCAAAGACCAAAGATTAAAAAGTTTTGAATGTTTTTAATAAAAAACATAGGATTTAACTAAAAAAAAAATCAATGGAGGATGTGTCCATGGAACACAAATGATGCCCCCGCTTGCATATAACATTATAAAAGGACATAACTAGAGAACTGTGAAAGTGACGCCACCCAAATTCGAACTTGATCTTTGTTTTATGGTAATAAGCATTGTGTAAAAGTTTTATAACATTTGGTTGAGGCAAACTCAAGTTAGAGAACGGAAACGCTGAATTTTTCCAAAGGGGCATAACTCTTGAACGGTTAAAGATGCCACCCAAATTGAAATTGATCTGTGTTTTGTGGTAATAAGCATTGTGTATAAGTTTCATAACATTTGTTTGAGGCAAACTCAAGTAAGGGAACGGAAACTAATTTTGGGAGGTACATTCAGACGGACAAGGGTAGCACTTAATGCTCCCTCCACTGCGGCGGGGGCATAATTATATGATATCCCTTGACATAACTTCCCATTTCCATAATTGTATGCTGAGTTATTGATTTACACCACTAACCCCCCTTAATTTCTACTCCTCGGGTATCTTTGGCAATACTTTAATTGTCTTATATTTGATATTGACATGAATTCTAAACAACTCAAACTTAATATATTAATCCAAGATTTTGATTGGTATGGAGAAAATTATCATTGCTCCTGTTGGCTTTAATATTCCTCATCAAATATATACATAAATTTCCAAATATAATAAAATGCTCAGCTGGGCGCAGCTTGATACGACGCAGAGGTCGAACCCTGAACAGTTGGGGCAAGTATGGACACAACATTCAAGCTTGATACACACTGAATTTGGATTGTGATTAAATATTTGACACAGCATAGGTTTCTGACACAGAATGAATGTGGTCTAAGCACTTATATTAATGATTTCTTCTTGAAACTTTTAAAAAATTCGAAATTTGAAAAATTTTGATAAAAAAATATGAATCCCTTTAAAAAATTGTAAACAAAATATCCCCCCCCCCCCCTTCAACTTATTGAAATCCCCCTTGGAGCAATAATCCCAAAACTCAATCACAGCCTTTCCTTTGTAGTATGGAACCTTGTAGTACAATTTCAGAGAGATCCATACACTTAAACACAAGTTATTGTCTGGAAACTAGAAAAATGCTTCTTTTTGGCCCCTTATTCCTACATGTTTGGGGCAATTAACCCCAAACTCAATCCCAGCCTTCCCTTTGTTTTATTGAACCTTGTGGTACAATGTCAGAGAGGTCCATACACTTACACACAAGTTATTGTCTGGAAACTAGAAAAATGCTTGTTTTTTGGCCCCTTTTTGGCCCTTTATTCCTAAACTGTTGGCCCAATAACCCCTTAAATGAATCCCAACCTTCTACTTGTGGTATAAAACATTGTGGTACAATTTCAGAGCAATCGAAATACTTATACACAAGTTATTATCCTGAAACTAGAAAAATGCTTGTTTTGGGCCCCTTATTCCTAAACGGTTGGGACCATCATCCCCAAAATCAATCCCAACCTTCCTTTTGTGGTATTGAACCTTCTTAAAAAATTTCATAGAGATCCATTCACTTAAACTTAAGTTATTGTCCGGAAACCAATGTGTCTTCGGACGACGGCGACGACATCATACCATTATACCATCCCAAAAAATTTCTTGCGGTCGTATAAAAATAAGGCTATATGATATGATTGCCAATTCACAATGAGACAACTTTCTTTGAGTCCAAATGTTGATGCCATAATTTTAATCTATAAATTGTTCCCAAAGGTAATCAAATCAATCTGAGGGAAGTGTATGACTGCAAAGAAAATAAGCTATGTAAAGATCAAGTTTTTTTTCTCCATTGATATTAATTAAGTGATTTTCTCATTTTCTTGGTTGTTTTTTTTTTTTAATATAAATAATGGATGTGGCTTCATATATGAATATGTGATTGATGCAAAAACACAATAATATTTGTCCATAGGACACCATGCCCCCCCCCCCCCCCCCCTCTTTCACTATCTATCACATTTAAAGTTCAATAAATGGTGAAATCTGTGTCAAAACCTTATTTGAAATACAGTTTTAAAAATTAACATCATAATGAACATGTGCACTAATAAAAAGATGAGGTATGATTGCCAATGAGATACCAAATGATGCAGAATTAACAACTATAGGTCACTGTATGGCCTTCAACAATGAGCAAAACCCATACAGCAAAGCAAGCTATAAAAGTCCCCAAAATGAGAAATGTAAAACAATTCAAAAGAGAAATCTAACGCCAAGATTTATGTACAAAACATTAAATGAAAAACAAATATGAATAACAAATATAAGTTTCAAGTTGATGTGACCACAGCTTCATGGTCAACTAATGTACACCAAGACTTAAACGTGACATGGGACAGATGAAATGACACACAAACAAGAAAACATTTAACGCCCTCCAGGTGTATCTAATGCATAATGTCCTCTTCTATCAAAGACGTAAAAATAATTATTTTGTATGAATGCTATTTTTGATGTGTATATGATTGGAAACTCTCTGTTGGTGCAAAGATATAAAGCCTGTCTCTATGACCCTAATGTTCTCAGATGATGTAATACATGTACAGTATAATTAATAAGCCAATGACAATACAAGTTTGTGGTGATAGGGTGGAAGTTGTGCAATCTACAGCATTTCTAATATATATATGTTAATTGTTTTTTGCAGTGAGTACATTTACCAAGAAAATTCCTGAAATGGTTTGCTAGAAGCATTTTAAGCTGTCATATTGTAACAACTTAAACTTACCATAAATAATATCTGGAAATCACTTTTCAAAGAATTCCTGATTATTTTTTCAAGAAACTACTGTAAATTCATTATTTTATTATTGCGAATAATGTGACTAGGTGAGTATCCCAATAATTATCTGATATATACATAAGTATGCAGATTTCCCTGAAATCGCAACAATTAGTCTCGCGTTTTTGTCCATTCTTCAAAAATCGCAATAATAAATGCACACAATAATTTCTGAATCTACAGATTCTCAAATCAGATACATAGATTTTGTTTTTTTGTCAACGCATGCACTATGTGTTTTCCTGTCCTAACAGTTCATGTAAATCAGCATCTTTTCAGTGAATTTGATGGAAAAAATGAAATTTATGCTAACTTTGACATCATAATAGGAATTTTGATATTGTAAATGAAAAAAAAAAAAAAAAAAAAGACTCTTTTCCCGTCTAGTCATTGTTCAAACAAGGGGCCTAATATCAACAGTACTCCTTAAACTGTGTGATGTATAATACTCTAGATAAAAATAGTCTTTTTGCCTACCTGCGGTGATAGTGGAATCTGACAGGTCTGATCCAGGACTGGTTTCCTGTTCCTCTACCTCCTCAATCTCTGACTGTTTCCGCAATGGAACTTTGTTATTTCTACAGTCCACTTTTTGGTCTGTTGCCATGGTCATGTGGAAAAAATAGTCTGAAATAAATCAAATAGTAAAAATCATAATGACAATATCTACAATTTTCCAATATTTCCTTAAATTCAATCAACAACAACTTAAAAAAAATAAATGTATCATGTTTAAAAATACATGTATTGAGGATATATATATGTATAAAAAACTAAATAAAAGGAATAGCTAATAAATATTCTAAAACTATGTAAGCATCATAAAAAGTTGTACCATAAATATTGTTTTCCGAACTAACAAGTCCAGAGGCTGCTGTTCTAGTCATTTATGATACTTTAACCTACTTCATATTAAATCGCTATTTGATATATATTAGTTTAAAAATTAACACCTTTCCTGTAAAAGCAGATTTCTACTTCAAATGTTATGTTATGACGCAAAACTATCACTTGGCGCTCAAAAACTGAGAAGACTAACGCTGGAAATGAATGTCAACGTGAAAGATTTATATCCTTTTTTTCAAATACAGGTCAAACTTTTGCCAAATTGTTACATACACAATGCAGTGGCTACTTTCAATACCACATGTTATAAAACATTTGCTGTATTTTTTAGCCACCACTTATTTTACGATAAAAATGTGCAGGGACCCAGTAGACCAGACTGCTGATTTTTGGGCATGGCCCAATAATTTAAATGAAAATGTACATGCTGCTATGTAAATCTTTCAGTCTGATTTAGCCAGGTTGGGGGCTTGATTGAAAATGTTAAAAGTCTTTTTCCCTGTACATAGTACATTTTCCAAAGAAAAAAAAACTCCACTATCCATAACATTAAGAGTACTAAAATGTATACTTACAAAGACCTGTTCAAACCCAAGAGGTTAAGAAACGTTGTAAGAATTATTGAAAGTACAAAAAAGTTTTAAAGACAGATGGACTAACAGACAAACGTACGAACGAACAGACACACAGACCGAAAAACATAATGCCCCTAGGTGGGGCATAATTACTCCGCCAATATAACAATAAAATGCTTCGCTGGGGCGCAGCTTGATACGACCGAAGAGGTCGAACCCTGAACAGTTGGGGCAAGTATGGACACAACATTCAAGCTTGATACAGCTCTGAATTTGGATTGTTATTAAATATTTGACACAGCATAGGTTTCTGACACAGAAAGAATGTGGTCTAAGAACTTGAATTTTTTTAATTTACCTATTATGGTCCAATGTCCAAAATCAAAATACATGGTTAGATTCAGCATATCAAAGAACCCCATATATTCAATTTTTGTTAAAATCAAACAAAGTTTAATTTTGGACCCCAACTTGGACAAACTTGAAAACTGGGCCCATAATCAAAAATCTAAACACATGTTTAGATTCAGCATATCAAAGAACCCCAAGAATTCAATTTTTGTTAAAATCAAACTAAGTTTAATTTTGGACCCTTTGGACCTTAATGTAGACCAATTTAAAAAACGGGACTTAAAATTAAAAATCTAAATACACGGTTAGATTTGGAATATCAAAGAACCCCAATAATTCAATTTTTGATCAAATCAAACAAAGTTTAATTTTGGACCCTTTTGACCTCAATATGAACCAATTTGATAGCGGGGCCCACAAATAAAAAATCTAAATTCATGGTTAGATTCAGCATATCAAAGAACCCCATATATTCAATTTTTGTTGAAATCAAAAAAAGTTTAATTTTGGACCCCAACTTGGACCAACTTGAAAACTGGGCCCATAATCAAAAATCTAAACACATGTTTAGATTCAGCATATCAAAGAACCCCAAGAATTCAATTTTTGTTAAAATCAAACTAAGTTTAATTTTGGACCCTTTGGACCTCAATGAAGACCAATTTAAAAAACGGGACCCAAATTAAAAATCTAAAAACACGGTTAGATTTGGCATATCAAAGAACCCCAATAATTCAATTTTCGATGAAATCAAACAAAGTTTAATTTTGGACCCTTTTGACCTCAATATGAACCAATTTGATAGCGGGGCCTACAAATAAAAAATCTAAATACATGGTTAGATTCAGCATATCAAAGAACCTCATATATTCAATTTTTGTTGAAATCAAACAAAGTTTAATTTTGGACCCCAATTTGGACCAACTTGAAAACTGGGCCCATAATCAAAAATCTAAATACATGTTTAGATTCAGCATATCAAAGAACCCCATATATTCAATTTTTGTTGAAATCAAACAAAGTTTAAATACTGGACCCTATCTTGGACCAACATGAAAACTGGGCCCATAATCAAAAATCTAAACACATGTTTAGATTCAGCAAATCAAAGAACCCCAAGAATTCAATTTTTGTCAAAATCAAACTAAGTTTAATTTTGGACCCTTTGGACCTCAATGTAGACCAATTTAAAAAACAGGACCCAAAATTAAAAACCTAAATACACGGTTAGATTTGGAATATCAAAGAACCCCAATAATTCAATTTTAGATGAAATCAAACAAAGTTTAATTTTGGACCCTTTTGACCTCAATATGAACCAATTAGATAACGGGGTCCACAAATAAAAAATCTAAATACATGGTTAGATTCAGCATATCAAAGAACCCCATATATTCAATTTTTGTTGAAATCAAACAACGTTTAATTTTGGACCACAATTTGGACCAACTTGAAAACTGGGCCAAAAATCAAAAATCTAAATACATGTTTAGATTCAGCATATCAAAGAACCTCATATATTCAATTTTTGCTAAAATCAAACAAAGTTTAATTTTGGACCCTTTGGACATTAATGTAGACCAATTTGAAAACTGGACCCAAAATTAACAAGAGTGCACACGCTGAAATGTCTCGCCTTCTTTACTAATCATTGATATTATGTTGATAGTCCTAAATATAAAGCTTTATTACAACTGTCACATAAACTTAACATTAACCAAGAAAACTAAACATTGACCAATGAACCATGAAAATGAGGTCAAGGTCAGATGAACCATGCTAGGCAGGCATGTACAGCTAACAATTCTTCCATACAACAAATATAGTTGACCTATTGCTTATAGTTTAAGAAAAACAGACGAAAACACAAAAACTTAACACTGAGCAATGAACCTTGAAAATGAGGTCAAGGTCAAATAAAACCTGCGTGACTGACATATAGATCATAAAATATTTCCATACACCAAATATAGTTGAACTATTGCATATAGTATTAGAAAAAAAGACCAAAACTCAAAAACTTAACTTTGACCACTGAACCATGAAAATGAGGTCAAGGTAAGATGACACCTGCCAGCTAGACATGTACACCTTACAATCATTCCATACACCAAATATAGCTGACCTATTGCATGCAGTATTAGAAAGAAAGACCAAAACTCAAAAACTTAACTTTGACCACTGAACCATGAAAATGAGGTCAAGGTCAGATGACACCTGCCAGCTAGACATGTACACCTTACAATCATTCCATACACCAAATATAGTAGACCTATTGCATACAGTATAAGAAAAACAGACCAAAACACAAAAACTTAACTATAACCACTGAACCATGAAAATGAGGTCAAGGTCAGATGACACCTGCCAGCTAGACATGTACACCTTACAATCATTCCATACACCAAATATAGTAGACCTATTGCATACAGTATAAGAAAAACAGACCAAAACACAAAAACTTAACTATAACCACTGAACCATGAAAATGAGGTCAAGGTCAGATGACACCTGCCAGTTGGACATGTACACCTTACAGTCCTTCCATACACCGAATATACTAGACCTATTGCTTATAGTATCTGAGATATGGACTTGACCACGAAAACTTAACCTTGTTCACTGATCCATGAAATGAGGTCGAGGTCAAGTGAAAACTGTCTGACGGGCATGAGGACCTTGCAAGGTACGCACATACTAAATATAGTTATCCTATTACTTATAATAAGAGAGAATTTAACATTACAAAAAATCTGAACTTTTTTTTCAAGTAGTCACTGAACCATGAAAATGAGGTCAAGGACATTGGACATGTGACTGACGGAAACTTCGTAACATGAGGCATCCATATACAAAGTATGAAGCATCCAGGTCTTCCATCTTCTAAAATATAAAGCTTTTAAGAAGTTAGCTAACGCCGCCGCCGCCGCCGCCGCCGGATCGCTATCCCTATGTCGAGCTTTCTGCGACAAAAGTCGCAGGCTCGACAAAAATCTAAATACACTGTTAGATTCGGCATAACAAATAAATAAATGTGATCAAAGATTTTACAAATCTAATGCGCCATACTGTGCAATAAAAGATAACTTCTTGAAATTTTTCAATATTTGAAATTTGAAAAAAAAATAATATTTGAAGAATAATTCTTTTTAATTTCTGAAATCTGAAATGAGAAAAAATTGGCCCCCCACAATTTCTTTTTATCCCCCCCCCCCCCCCCCCTTTTTTCCCCCAAAAAAATTCTTTCCCTCAAGATATGGTCATAATCTCAATTCAAATTTCCAATGGAGTTGGCAACCATAATTACCCATTTAAATTTACCATAGTGCTAACTTAATCTATTTTATAATAGAATTAATAAAAATATAGTGTCAAATCTTTCATATGGATTTTTTTGTAAAAAAAAAAGATGAAAACATTTGCAGATATTTTTACTGGTCTTCCTTTATAAATATGCATTTCTTTAAACATAATTTAAAAGCAGTGTAAGGGAAGTAACCAAAACATTGTATTTGGATTACCTCCCTTACACTGTTTTAGATTATCTTTATTGTTCATTAACCATTACTTTATACATAATTTAAAAGCAGTGTAAGGGAGATAATTTCAATGATGTATTTGATTTATCTCCCTTACACTGCTTTAAATTATGTTTTGTACTAAAGTATTTGTCCATTAACCAGGACAACCTTGTTTTTCCCCCTAATTCCTAAACGGTTTGAGCCATAACCCCCCAAAGCAAATCCTAACCATCCCTTTGTGGTATGGAAACTTGTAGTATAATTTCAGAGAGATCCATACACCGTTCCACAGTTATTGTCTGGAAACTAGAAAATGCTCATTTTTGGCCCCTTTTTGGCCCCTAATTCCTTAACTGTTGGTACCATAACCCCCAAAATCAATCCCAACCTTCCTTTTGTGGTATTTAACCTTATGGTAAAATTTCAAAAAGATCCATTCACTTAAACTAAAGTTAGAGTGCGAAAACCAATATGTATTCGGACGACGACGCCGGACGACGACGACGACGACGCCAACGTCATACCAATATACGACCACAAAATTTTTTTGCGGTCGTATAAAAAGGATATGTGGTATGATAGCTAATGAGATAGCTATCAATAATAAAAATGCCCCGCTGGGCGCAGCTTGATACGACCGCAGAGGTCGAACCCTGAACTGTTCGGGCAAGTATGGACACAACATTCAAGCTTGATACAGCACTGAATTTGGATTGTGATTAAATATTTGACACAGCATAGGTTTCTGACACAGAATGAATGTGGTCTAAGAACTTAAAATTTTTTTAATTTAGCTATTCAAACCATATCATTATTAATTGCTTTTATATATAAATCCGAAATAACCAATTTAAAATGGAAAATTTTAAAGAAAATAGGAAAAAAAAAATCCTCCCTCAAATTTTTTGAACCCCCTTATGATTCATCACCGGCAAACTCAATCCCAGCCTTCCCTTTGTGTTACAATGTATGGTGCCTTGCAGTACAATTTCAGAAAGATCCGTACACTTGAACACAAGTTATTGTCTGGAAACTAGAAAAATGCTTGTTTTTTGGACCCTTTTTGGCCCCAAATTCCTAAACATTTAGGGCAATTACCCCCAAACTCAAACCCAGCTTTCCCTTTGTGATATGGAACCTTGTTGTACAATTTCATAAAGACCCATACACTTACACACAAGTTATTGTCCTGAAACTAGAAAAATGCTTGTTTTTTGGCCCTTTTTTGGCCCCTAATTCCTATGATTTTGAGGCAATTACCCCATACATCAATCCCAGCATTCCGTTTGTAGTATGGTACCTTGCAGTACAATTTCAGAGAGATCCATACACTTGAACACAAGTTATTGTCTGGAAACTAGAAAAATGCTTATTTTTAGCCCCTTATTCCTAAACGTTTTGGACAATTACCCCCAAATTCAATTCCAGCTTTCCCTTTGTGATATGGAACCTTGTAGTACAATTTCAGAAAGATCCATACACTAACACACAAGTTATTGTCCTGAAACTAGAAAAATGCTTGTTTTTTTGCCCCTTTTTGGACCCTTATTCCTAAAATTTTCAGGCAATTACCCCCAAAATCAATCCCAGCCTTTCCTTAAGTGGTATGGTACCTTGCAGTACAATTTCAGAGAGATCCATACACTTGAACACAAGTTATTGTCTGGAAACTAGAAAAATGCTTATTTTTGGCCCCCTTTTATCCCCTTATTCCTAAACGTTTTGGGCAATTACCCCCAAACTCAATTCCAGCTTTCCCTTTGTGACATGGAACCTTGTAGTACAATTTCAGAAAGATCCATACACTAACATACAAGTCATTGTCATGAAACTAGAAAAATGCTTGTTTTTTGCCCCTTTTTTGGCCCCTAATTCCTAAAATTTTGAGACAATTACCCCCAAAAATCAATCCCAGCATTCCTTTTGTGATATGGAACCTTGTGGTACAATGTCAGAGAGATCCATACACTAACACACAAGTTATGTCTGGAAGTTACAAAAATGCTTATTTTTGGCCCCTAATTCCTTAACTGTTGGTAACATAACCCCCAAAATCACTCCCCACCTTCCTTTTGTTGTATTGAACCTTATGGTAAAATTTCATAAAGATCCATTCAATTAAACTAAAGTTAGAGTGCGAAAACCAATGTGTCTTCAGACGACGACGACGACAACGACATACCAATATACGACCACAAAAATTTTTTTGGGGTCGTATTAAAACCACCATGACAAAGATGTGAACAATAATAGGTCAACATTGTCTTCGTCAATGACCAATACTCATACAATATAGTAAGCTATAAAAAACACTGGTAGAACAAATTTGAAATAACTTAAAAAGAGAATAAAATGCTCCGCTGGGGCGCAGCTTGATACGACCGCAGAGGTCAAACCCTGAACAGTTGGGGCAAGTATGGACACAACATTCAAGCTTGATACAGCACTGAATTTGGATTGTAATTAAATATTTGACACAGCATAGGTTTCTGACACAGAATGAAAGTGGTCTAAGAACTTATAATTTTTTAATTTACCTATTCATACATGTGATGGACTGTGAAACTCAGATCAGGAGATTGGGAAATTTTGGTCAGGAGATTAGGACTCAGATCAGGAGGTTTTTAATCGACATAAATTTTGTCGTAAATGTAACCGTGTGCTGTAAAAATGGTCTTTTAAAGTGTGTTTTCTTCAACTTTCCATCCAATTTATTATGTTTATAGTGTCCTTGTACTTATAAAGTTTCTCCATCTTTATATTCTACATGTTCAATCTAACATTTGTTTTTTCAGTATGTTCTTTAAATTTTTTACTTCATATTCTATAAAACAATCATTGCAACCAGAACATCTGTTTAACTATCTGCAAATAGCTTTTGTTTGCATACTCAGAAAATCATTCTAACTATGGTCATAGTTATTATATAAATTTCAATTTAAGCCTTGAAAGGAAGTATAGAATCCTCAAATATATTTCAAATTATTATTTTTTTATTTGTCCTAAGACATTTAAAATCATAATTTACCATCCTTTTATGATTATTTGTTCAATTTATATTTCATTTATATTCTTTTAAAAATTTTCATTATTAAAAGGAAAGTAACTTAAAACAGGATAAATCAAGGGAAGTAACCCAATAAATACACAGTTTTTGTTACACAACGGCAGTTAGCCTGAGGTAAAAAATCGTTGATTACCAGTATGTTTGACACCCAAGCTGACAAGTGAAGCCATATAATTATGCATGTTAATTGATTTACAGGTAAAATATAACTTCAGGTAATGTGAGTTACACCAGATGCCTGAGATGATATGTTGGGCAGAAATTTTTCATTCATGAAAAACTTCTTACACGGGATTATTTCCTCTTCAACGGGAGGTCGGGAGGAGACTCCTGAAAACGGGATTATTGTACTCCTGTCGGGAGGTTCACATGTATGCTATTCAAACCATATCATTATTATTTGCTTTTATATATAAATCAGAAATAACCAATTTAAAATGGAAAATTTTAAAGAAAAAAAAATCCCCCCCCCAAATTTTTTGAACCCCCTTATGATTCATCACCCCCACACTCAATCCCAGCTTTCCCTTTGTGGTATGGTACCTTGCAGTACAATTTTAGAGAGATCCATTCACTTGAACACAAGTTATTGTATGGAAACTAGAAAAATGCTTGTTTTTTTTTGTCCCTTTTTGGCCCCTAATTCCTAAACGTTTAGGGCAATTACCCCCAAACTCTAACCCAGCTTTCCCTTTGTGATATGGAACCTTGCAGTACAATTTCATAAAGATCCATACACTTACACACAAGTTATAGTCCTGAAACTGAGAAAATGCTTGTTTTTTTGCCCTTTTATAGCCCCTAATTACTAAAATTTTGAGGGAATTACCCCCAAAATTAATCCCAGCCTTCCCTTTGTGGTATGGTATCTTGCAGTACAATTTCAGAGAGATCCATACACTTGAACACAAGTTATTGTCTGGAAACAAGAAAAATGCTTATTTGTTGCCCCTTTTTGGCCCCTTATTCCTAAACTTTTTGGGAAATTACCCCCAATCTCAATTCCAGCTTTCCCTTTGTGATATGGAACCTTGTAGTACAATTTCATAAA